CTGAACCCAGAGTTCCAGCATAGGAAAATAAGGACTCAGAATTTCTGACTGAGAAAACACATGGGAGTTGAGGCACTGGGAGAAACTCCCAGCATCACAGGACAGTTCATTGAAGAGAACCACAGGGTCCTAGAATGTACACAAAACCAGCACCAAAATCAGCACCAGAAGGGCCCACTTTGCTTATGGGTAGCAGAGAAAGTTATTGAGAGTCAGCCAGAGCTAAGCAAATGCAATTGTTCCCTTTTAGACCGCTCCCCCACATACAGCACCACAACACAGCAAAGAGGGTTGCCCTGCCCTGGTGAATACCTAAGGCTCTGCCCCTTACTGAGACAAAGGCACACTGATACAAAAAATATGGCCCAAATGAAAGAACAGATCAAAGTTTCAGAAAAAATACAACTAAGCAATGAAGAGTTAGCCAACCTATCAGATGCAAAGTTCAAAATACTGGTAACCAGGAAGCTCACAGAAACGCTTGAGTATGATTTAAAAATAGAGAAAAAAGTGAAGGCAATGAAAAGTGAAATAAAGGAAAATGTATAGGGAACCAACAGTGAAGGGAAGGAAAACAGCACTCAAATCAACAGTTTGAAACAGAAGGTTAGAAACAAACATTCAACCAGAACAGAATGAAAAAAAAGAATTCAAAAAAAAAAATGAGGAGAGGCTTAGGAACCTCCAAGACATCTTCAAACATTCCAACATCCGAATCATAGAGGTGCCAGAAGGAGGTGAGGAAGAGCAAGAAGTCAAAAACTTATTTTAAAACACAATGAAGGAGCACTTCCCCAATCTGGCAAAGGAAATAGACTTCCAGGAAGTCCAGGAAGTTCAAGGTGTCCCAAAGAAGTTGGACCCAAGGAGGAACACACCAAAACACATTATAATTTCATTATCCAAAATTAAAAATAAGGAGAGAATCTTAAAAGCAGCAAAAGGAGACAGTTACCTACAAAGGAGTTCCCATCAGACTGTCAGCTGATTTCTGAAAAGAGACCTTAATTAGCAGGAAGGGGCTGTAAAGAAGTATCTGAAGTCATGAAAGGCAAGGACCTACACCCAAGATTACTCTGTTCAGCAAAACTATCATTTAGAATGGAAAGGCAGATGAAGTGCTTCCCAGATAAGGTCAAGTTAAAGGAGTTCATCATCACGAAGCCCTTATTATATGAAATGTTAAAGGGACTTATCTCTAAAAAATAGATGATAAAAATATGAACTGTAAAATGACAACAAACTCATAACTATCAACAATTGCACATAAATATACAAACAAACAATAAAAATAAAAAACTAAACAAACAACTAGACCAGGATCAGATTCACAGAAATAGAGATCACATGGGTTATGAGGGTTATTAGCAGGAAGGGGAATGAGGAAGGGGGAGAAAGGGGTGAAAGGCACAGGGAATAAGAAGTATAAATGGCAAGTATGAAATAGACACAGGGAGGTTAACAACAGTATGAAAAATGGAGAAGCCAAATAAGTTATATATGTGACCCATGGACATGAACTATGGTGGGGAAATTATTGTGGGAGGGGGAGTACAGGGCAAAGGGGAATAAATGGGATAAAAAATGGGACAACTGTAGTAGCATAATCAATAAAATATATTTTAAAAAATTTCTTGCAGAACACCAGTTGAAAATCACTAGATTAGACTCATAAATGTGTGTCTCCTCATAAATGAGGAGGCTGGCTGGCATGTGGTTAATTCATTACTTACTATTACTTCTTGAGCCAAATGATAAATTTCTTACTAAATACAAGTATGAAGTGAATGATTCAAGTTGCTTAGCTTCCAAGAGGGAGATGAAAATTAATCAGAAACTATGCAATGCCAGGCAGTGCCCAAATTTTCTTACATGGCTTTGGTTCATCCTCTAAGAAATAAGATGAAACTGCAAACCATAGCAGGTAAACTAAATCTAACAAATGAGTCCAATCTGGACTTTCTACTTTATGAATGTGGAAGAATTTCTCCCTAAGCATTGTTGAGCTATCTGGGATGAGTAGATTAAAATAGGCCTTATGGAATCAGCTTGGATGAATTAGGTCTGTGGCTTTTAAATGGACTACTTGTATTCTGTTTCTAGTGCTGCTACTGACCCCACCCAGCACACTGCAGTAACTATAACAGGCTTTAAATAAACATTTTCTAAGTGAGATCTAATATGGTCTTACCCATCTTATAATACAAAAGGATATAAAATTATTACAATCAAAAGTAATAAACGTGTCTTAAAACTTTCCCAATTTTGTTCAAGTGATTCATTTTCTTCAAGGATGAAGACTATATGGCCCAATACATTTGTTCATGGCAAGCATTGTCTACTATGTCATTCTTTTCTACTGATCCTGAGGGGGCTTTGGAATCTTTCTTAAAACGGTGGTCCAGATATCACGATCCAACTAATCAGAGAAATATGAGTTGAAACCTAAATTTCATTAGATTGTATGAGGTTTCAGACAGAGTAGAAAAGGGAATTTGAGAGCCACATCTTTTCTCTAAAATTGTTAACATTAACTGGATACTTATATAATACATACCAAGTGCTATTTTCTGATCCTAAGATGTATAAGCTCACTTCATCCTCACAAAAACTCTATGCAGAAGATGACACTAGTTTTTTTGTTTTTTGTTTTTTGTTTTTTACCCTGTAGAATGGGATCATGAGGCACAGAAAGGTTAAGAAACTTCGTGAAGAATGTGCAGCTGGTCATTGTTAGAGCTGCAACTCAAGCTCCAGATTCTATACTACACGGCTGGAAAGAACTTAGCAGAAGAGGTAGATATTATACAGAGACTAGAAAAAAGTTGAAATCATTGAAATTTTTTAAAAAGAAGGAAAAAGACAAATGAAAAAAACCCCAAAAATATATTTGTAGCATGTTTTCTCCTTAGGATTATAACAGTGCTTTGAAGAACATCTTTGATTATATATAGCATGCATATATTGCATATGCACCATATGGTTATATATTATACATCATGACAAACTATGTATGTATATATGTGTGTATACTTCTACATGTCAACAAATAGCAACAATAAACATTAACTTCTTTTGAAATATAAGGTAACACTAAAATTTGACCTTTCCCAATTATTCTGAGAGATTGTCAATTTTCTGAAAAAGAGTGAAGGGTAAATGTCAGACTGCTGAATCACAGAATACTGAAAAGGTTAAGGCAAAAGCAGAGCCTTGCCATCGTTCCTTTAGTCTGAGACATGATATTACGTAAACTTACATTGTTGAGATTGTTCTTACGGTGCCATGAAAGTCTATTTTTATGGACAATGATTAGGACAAAAATTCTGGGTAGTGAAGTTCAAAACTTACTTCCTGAGTGTCATCACCAAGGTTTTCTCTAAGAAGTTAGGAAAACAAAATTCACGACGTCCTGTGCCTTCCCTAGAGAATGTGCCTGCCTGTCTACCTGTCACACACTGTTCTGATAGCTCTTCAGCGGGTGATGAGAAAAGTCTCTGGCTTACAGCATGGACATCAGAAAAACAGATGTGAGAAACTCTTGGATCCTATACATACCAATTTTTCTCTGGCCTGAGAAAACCATCCTATACAACCTTGGATTAATTTGCTCACTTGGAAAGCTAATTAGATGTTTCCTGTGTATCATACAGAGGTCTGAGTTGGGAATTCATGTTCTTTTCTGCTCCCTCGTGGTTTAATCTGCACACTGTACACCAAAGGGTAGAGACTCCAATGGCAGCATGGGAATTCATATCCAGCACCATTCAACAGAGTTGTAGAGACAACTGGTGTGACTCTAATTACCTCCCAGACCCTGAGGACAAAGGAAGCTTTCAGAGTAAAGAAGGCGGCTATATCTCCTCATTAGAGTCAGAACATATGCAAGCCATTCTTTGAATGTGGCACATGGAGAAAAACATCTCTTCCTTGGACTGAAGCTGGAAGTTGGTCCCGACAGTAATTCTATCAGGGAACTCCTGTCAGTCTACCTGGCAAATACTACCATATATTGTCCCGATTTTAATGAAGCATTTGGTTTGCTTTTACTACTTAACATGGAGATAAAATTCTTTCATATTGGAATAATTTTGGATTTTGGGAATAGACTTCTCAAGAGTCACAGTCACTGAATATACTATTCTCTCTGAAAAGCCTCCTGACTCGCGCCTGGCTTCATTTTATGGCTGCATCTTTCATTCTTTTTTATGCCTACAATTCCTTTGACGCCAAATTTTCTTTACCCATATCCTTGACTAATGCTATTGTCCATGTCTGGACTGGGTATGCAATGGAAATGATGGTTTTCAGATATGGCCCATTTCTTCTCACCTAGGGATTGAACTAGAAGTTTCACCACGAGACAAGCACACTCCAGTGTGATCAGTCAAGGCCCCCAGCAAGTGTGAGGTCTCTGCTGTGTGGCAGGCCTGGGGTTTGCTCCTGGCTCTGACACTTAACTCTTGGTACAAGTGACTTAGCCTCTAGAAGCCTGTCTCCTCTATTTACTGAGGGAAATGGCACTAACCTCATCCCGTTGTTGTAAGCAGTGTGTTAGAATAAACAACATAATGCCTGGAAAGCATTCAACATAGCACCTGGGCCAGGGTGGTAAACATTTCTTAGAGTTGTATTAACTCCCATGTCTTTACTTGGTGGCAAGTCCATTGGGGTCAAAAACTCATTTTCTATTCCTTTGAATACCTGGCAAAGTTTTAAGCAGACAATACAGTCTAGTAATTCATTTTATGTGCCTAGTAAAATCATATTGATTGTGTGTTATTTCTCAGCTTCAGAGTAATGAGAACAGCAGACAGCAAAACCAGGCATTGATATAGAGAAACAGGAAGGTGGGTCTTGCCATGAGCAAGGCTTGGCCCTCAGGGAGCAGCTGAGTAGTCACCCCGTTCGGGATCTGTTGTGTCCTCCTTATGGTGGCTGAGCCTGCAGAAAGCACCCCATCTGAGAGGAGAAACATGACAGAAAGACAGTAGTTTGGATCAATACATTTCAACTTACTAATTGCTTTATTGGAGAGGTTAAGCTGACTGCAACAGGAATACAGGATTTAAAGTCAGTGGTCTTGAGACTTAAAAAGGTTATGTTTATGACCATTCTTTGACAATGTGCCTCTAATTAAGCTCTCTAAAAACGTTTCATAAAAATATGCTTGTTTTCTCTTTACATCTTTCAGTTAAAAAGAAATTGGAAGAGGTGCCAGTCCAACTGCGCCTTGAGGAAAATCCGATGACTTCGTGGCATGGAGGCCAATCTCACACGGCTTGATTGATGCTCAAGTTTTGTGGATGTTCAATTATTTTAATTTGCTGATAATGTGTTTGGTATGAGGTTGATTTTTGCAACTTCTGATCCAAATATTGTCACCAAACGTTTGAAAGCAGACCTTTTCATGTATCACTAAATAACAGTAAATAATATCCATAAATACAAAATCACCAAATACAAAATTTCAGCTATATTTTCTGCTGGTTACATAAAAGTCCTTTGACTTAAGTTCAGTCAAATTCAGTACTAAACAGATTTTCTGTGACCATTTTATCTTTAACATGAAGTTACATTTTTGCACGTGGAGACCTTCTTTATTGAATTTAAAGCTTCATTTTCAGTTAATGCTCAGCATCAACTACATATTAGTGGTCTTTGGGTTAAACAGATGAACCTTCATTTCTCTTTTACTTGTTTTAGCTACTACTGACTCTTATCATTAGTCAGTAATAACCTCTTGGTGAATTAACAGGAACACAAATTTGTTTTCTATATTTTGAGAGGAGGATAGAACATACTTATAATAAGAGACAACTATTTGCAAGTTCCTTCAGTACTTTTTTTCTTTATAGTTGATGCCAAACGTGGGAATTCACCTGTAAAGCCCCTGGGAAATGCCACAAAAATTGTATTCTAGTTGGACCAAATGACCACAGTTCTCTGTGGCTTCGATACCTCTCCATAAAGGGTTCTTACTTGGTCAATAATTTTTTAATCACAATAAAAACTATAACATAAAGAGCTTCTGAGGGTTCATACTGGCTGCAGATGAAATGGGGTGAGCATTTCACACACACACATACACACTCAGGAGCATGTTTTAGGGTTCAGTGGAGGAAGCACTTTTTCACTGATAGGTAGAATATTTTCAGAGAGATGAATCAAAAAGTTTAGGAAAGATTGAACCCCATTTTGTGCAGACATTATCAGATATATTCTGCAGGGGCTAAGCATGATAGATGATTAAATAGCATTCTGTAGATGACCATAGATTTTTTGTTTTATTAGATTTCAGGGGATACACAGAACAGGCAAGAAGGCGCCTGAAATCACCATCACAGAATGAATGGTGTGTGTGTCCCTTGCCAGCTGAGCTGATTACCAGGCAGATACTATACTGCAATCACACCTCACAATAGTTATACCTAAGAAAGCAATCTATAAAACAAGCACCAAACAACTGGGCATAATTTTTATCATACTCTGAAATCTTTAACCTCAACAATTAAGTTGGTCCATGAAAAATATTAAATGTTAGGGTTCCAGAAGCTAGTATGACCCGAGTTATCTTTACACATTTTCTTGTTTAAAAGGTGGTTACATTGGCACTTAAAAAAATAAATCAGAAAATAATATGGTTTCAAGTGAACAAATAAATATGACTTTAGGAGAGTCTTTGCATTATCTGTTGCTTTCCTCTTGATTTGGTTCCATTGATAATTTCTCCCCAAGTTTTCTAATAAGTTCTGCTAGATCTTCTGAATTCTGAGTTTTTTCTTCCAAGAGTTCATAGCGGAGACTTGAGATGTCCTGTTTAATTTCCTTCAGTTCCCCTTTGAAAAATAAGAGTTATAAGAAGTCAACTATAGATACGTAATGCAGAGAAACTAAGAGATTTTAGGGTAGAGTGAAATCAGTCTTAGCTCCACACACATCAGTATTTTGCATCCTTCTGAAGGAAATAACTTCTTAGTGAGCAGGTTTCTATTTTGTCAACTAAGTATTTTGGTTAATAAAAAAAGTTATAGAAAAAGATATAACAACAGTCCTCTGAAAGTAAGTTAAATGAAAACACAGGTGGCAAATATTTTGGGGGTTGGGAAGAATAGCCCTTCACCTCTCCCAACCACTTTCTCCCTCCCTCCAAGCCCCCCATAAAAACAATAGTTAACTTTAACTACTGGCATCTGCCCCCCACCTGTGGAGAAACAGCCTATTTCCTGAAAACTCAATGGTACTGAGGATTGGTGAGAACCTGTCTGCTCTTCCCCTTGAAGCTCACAGTTCCCAGCAGGCCCTTCTCTCCAGCTCCCTCTCAGCTCAGCACCAGGCCCACACCTGGCTCATGCTCAGAGCTGACTTGTCCCCAGGTTCAACTCACCTTCATTCACTTCGTCACTTTCCTTATCCATCTGGGCTTTTAGGACATATCTTTTAATAAGCCTCTTCATTATTTTCTATAGAGAGAAAAAATTCTCTTCAGTTCATGACAAATGTCATTTGGAATACATTTGAGTCACGCTCTCTTTCATGAGCACTTTCGAAGCGATGGCTATCAGGGATTAAGATGGCCTCCCCAGGGAATGCGCACCATCTCTAGACTGTTAAAGCAATTTGCACATCACCTGGGCTAATGACTCAAAATAGTTCTTCAGCAAGCATCAAGTTCAGAACAAAAATCTAATCCTTGATTCATTGCTTGTATTTTATTTGAAAAACATTAGGGCAAGACACAGCATTTCTGTTAGAGAGGTTAAAGGTCTGTGGTACTGCAGGTGGAAATGGAAAACTAAGCAAACAAGCAAAAACTCATTTATATTTTTCCCTCCCATATCAAGAAATGTAGCCAGCTTTGATTTAATGCTTGCTAGTAATTTATAATGGCCAGTTACACTGTTTCTTCCATAAGGATGTCTGTTTACTACACACTTTTCATAAAAAGCGGGAGGCTCAGCACGTGTGCAGGAAGTCCTGAATAAAGATATACTTTAACAAATCTTACTACCTAAGCCCAAAAGAAATGGTGGGCAGTAAAATTCCAATTGCAAGGATGTAATTCTTACATCCAAGGATGTAATAAGGTTCATGGAAAAATATGTTCATAAAAGTACTACATAATAGTAGAAAAAGAAACTTTAAATGTCCATCAAGGTATTATTTTAATAAATTATAACATTTATAGAAAGGAATACTATATACCCATTAATATTAATGTTAATATTTTATGAAAACATTTAATAATTTTGTGAAAAGTATTGCTCGTTATGTATTATTAATTCCCATATATATATACACATGTGTGTGTGTGTGTGTGTGTATATATATATATATATATATATATATATATATATATATATATGGTCTGTCCAGAAGGTATCCATCCATGTAATATGAAAGAGACATTTATTGAAGAAGATGCAAGATACAAGAAAAATTGTGCATAGGACAATGATGCCTCAGTCCCCTTCAAAGAAGGTACCTTGGGACCTCACACAGTTCTCCCAATAAAGATCAGCTGCCCCATCATATTTTCCTGAATCTCACTGATGATCTGAAATCTCTTCCCTTTCAAAGGCTATTTTAGTTTTGGGAAAAGCCAGAGTTTCAGGGCGCCAAATCTGGGCCGTAGGGAGCTGAGTCACCTGAGGCATTTGATGTTTGCCAAAAAACTCTGCACCAGATGTGATACAGGCATGGGTGCGTTGTGATGAAGCTGCCAGTCACCAGTTGCCTATACCTAGGGACTTCTGACTCACCTGAATAGTTTCTAGAAATGAATGGTTATGCCTAATACAAAATTTAATGCAGATTAATTGCTCTACTTGCTCAATCATTTTGAAAGCAATGACCACACAGTACATATACTCATTCAATGGTATGTACTGCTCCCACTGACAAGTACAGTGAAGCTGTCATTGTTCATGCATGCACATTCCAGTCCAGTTTCCTTGGTTGCCAGTTTACATCGATGTCACACAAACCATCCTCGTTATATTAACAATGGCTGGACTTTTTCTGGACAGACCTCATACATTTATATATATAAATATTGATATTGATATTGATATATATATGTAAAATTCTACACATATATATAATCGCCTGGCAGGATATTCATCAAAAGAAGTAGCCTTTATTCCTCAGTGGTAGGGTTTGAGGTAAATTTTACTCTCATCTTTATGTTTTTAGTAAGGATAGACTATTTGCAATGAACAGAGACTCTAAGTTTGATCCAAGACTTCATCTATTTTCTTCACCTATGCATCTGCAGTACTTACAAAGTGCTGGCCCAGGCTGGTGTGGCTCAGTTGGTTAGAGCATCATTTTTTAAACCAAAAGATTGCAGGGTCCAATTCCTGACCAGGGCATACCCAGGTTGTGCCTTCGGTCCCAGGTAAGGGCTCATACAAGAGGCAACTCATCAATATTTTTATCTCTCTCTCTCTCTCTCTCTCTCTTTCTTCCCTTCTAAAATTAATAAGCATGTCCTCAGGTGAGGACTAAAAAAATAGAAAGTGCCTGGCACATGGTAGTTAATAAAAATTTGTTAAATCAATGCACTCTGATATTTTAAAATGTCTATTTTCACTTACAGAACTGCATAGTTTGCGACTCTATATATTACAAATAACTAGCCTTATTTCTTCAAACACTCATGATTAGTCCTAGCTGGTGCGGCTCATGTGGTTGGGTGTCATCCCGCAGACTGAAAGGTCTCTGCTTCCATTCCAGTCAGACCACGTGCCTGGGTTGTGGGTTTGGTCTCCAGTCGAGGGGCGGGGGAGATATGGAAGGTGACCACTCGTGTTTCTTTCTCATGTAGATGTTTCTCTCCCTTTCCTTCTCCCTTCCATCCCCTCTCTTTGTTAAAAAAAAAGAAGAAAGAAAGAAATCTTTACCTGATATTGTCTTGGAGGATTATTGAAACTATTTAACTGGAAATCTTCTGAGCTTCTTATGCTTGATTGTTTACTATGCCCAGGCTGCAATTTGAAAATAATTAGAAACTGATTTTTATCTAATTTTAAAGAAATGTAATGAGATTTATTAGTTATATAAATGAATAAGTAGTCTTTTATATTATATATAAATAAACTATATATATAGCCATTTTAACTTCGCTTGCTTAATATTCTGTCTTCCAAGACAAATCATAGGTACTTGAGGTACATTCAGTCTCTCTCGGCTCTTGGAGGTTGCCAAGGAGGCTTTTAGACTTTGTGGCATTGATTATGTGGTCATGACAGTCATACTTTAACCTTCCCACAGACAAATCTGTGATACAGGAAGACACAAACAAATTGGGAAAACAATGGTGATGACCTCAGAAATTTATTGATGACGGATCAACAGGCCAGTATGATTAACTACAACATTAACGTAAGATACACCAGAATGAGACTGTCGTGAGACAGAACTCAGACTCCAGGAAAACACTAATTAATCGATTTGACTTTTAGCATCTGTAAAGTATTCCATTTGAGAAGCACTTTTCAAGTAATGTATTTGTTTGAACAGGCAAATATTTAACAAAGAATTAAAGCAATCCACAATATATGTTTTAACATATCGTTTAACATGCTAAGATGATGACTGAAAAAGACTTCAAGTCATTTTCTAAAGGGAAAAAACGTAAACCTGAGTGCTACAGAGCAGCTCCAAATTGCTACGTTTTAGCTACATAACTGTTCACAGGGGATGAGAAACTTTAAGACTGTCTTCAAAGATATTTCCTGATGACATCTAACTTGCTCTAAGTACAGCTCGGTGAGACTCAATTAAAATCTTTGACTTCAATATTTTGATCTTTACACGCCTACATGCTGAATTAAAACACTTACATACACATTCATCCATTGAATTAGTATGAATTGAGAGTTTTCTATAAGTAAGGTGTTGTGCTAGGTTATGAGTACTGATGAAGGCTACAAACAATTATGGTCTAGCTGATTTGCAGTAATAGAAAAATATGGCAAGGCTGACACAATCCATAAAAATCTATAATTTTGGTAATATTGTTCAGAGATCATCCTTTTTCTCATAGCTAATTTCTCTTTTTCTTTCACCCTCTATAAAAATATCAGCAAAATGTACACTAACTTATATTAACTTTAAACAACATTAAGATGAAATTATACAACTGACCAAATTAACCAAAGACAGGCAGCTTAGATTTTCCAGAGCACTTGACAGAAACCCAAAGACTCACGTCTGGCCCTGCCACAAGTTAGCTGTAGAACACTAGGCAAGATGTTAAAACTGGCTATTACCTCTTCTAAAAATGAAGAGAGTGGTCTGGTTGACCTCTACAATCCTTCAATTTCTTCTATGAACTTGTGAAATTAACACAAACTTAAACATTTTAATAATAAAATTTATTTAAAAATGCTATTGTTATTCACTTATTTTTATAATGCTGTAATTATTTCTGTCTTGCAAATTGTATTTTATACCTTAAGGACATCATTAAATGGGATGGCCAGGTTCCAGCTCACTTTCTTCCCCATCTTTTATGGTAAAGCGTGCAGGGCGAGAACAGGTTCATAATCAGAGGGAAAGGATCCAGACAAATGGAGTCTTTGTGCATCCCATACTACCCATTCATGAATCCACAAGCTCATGGCTACAGATCGTTAATGCGATGTCTCATTTTTTTATTAGAAGATACTGTTACATCCAAAGGTATTCATAAAAATAGAATGTGAAAATTTTTGCTTCCTAGAGGTTTTTTGAAGGCAAATGTGTGGTACTGGATACCCAATAAGTATAACTACCCATCCCCTAAGGTTTAAATATGATTCATATTGCAAGCAGAATCCCCTTGACTTTCCAGTCTATTTTAGTAGGGTGCATAGAGACGACTATCTATTAACCCAATGTTCCTCAATTAAAGCAGCTCCGAGACACACCACACCTGTAGAGATATCCTTTCTTTTTTGAAACAGTATCATAACCATGTCACACGGGGATCTTTCCTGATTTAAGGTCTTTGTGTTGCCGTTTCCAATTCCGAAAACCCTCTTTTCCCGGCTTTTGCCTAGATGACTAACTCTGCCTTACCCTTTGGATTTTTGCTTAAAACATAAGCTTCTCAAAGAAGCTATTTCTGCCTGCTCCATGAAAAATAGCTCTTGAGCAAGCTAGGCCTTTCGCTTCCTTTGTAACATACTTCACAACTGACAATTATTATATTCGCTACTTTAGTTACGAGTTTATTGTCTACATTCTCTGGGCTGTATGGAAGGATGGACTTCATTCAGTTCACCCCAATGTCCCTAGTGCCAGCACTGCCCAAAATTGTTGGCTGGTGAACTAAGTGCTGGGAAAAGTGCTCTTGGGTCACTAACAGACCTCACTTGGCTTCCGGAAACCTCGCTACCCAAGACGTGTGCAATCTAGGCTGATGAACCAGTTGGTTGCCTCAGCCACATGATAAAGATCCATCTGAAACACGATGAATTGGTTTTAGGGCATCAGGCAGAAGCCTTAAAAGGAACAGAAGGTGGCACAGAAGAAGTAACAGTGCTAGGAAAGCAGGAAATGGTATTTTGTTCATTTGAGAAGGTGTATGATTGTGGGTTGTCCACAGTGTAGCTCTTGAAGTGCTAATGACCATAGCTACAGTTCATACAGTTTCAGCCCAACATGCAGCTCTCCTGCTTGTGTACTCAGTGGACTGAGTTCAAGTGTTCTCAATCAGGCTAGATAATTCTTTATTTTGGGCAGGGGATGGGGGGACTTTCCGTGTATTATAGAATATTAACACCATCATGCTCTCCACTCACTGGACACCAGTAACAGCCGTCCTCTCTGGCTGAGACAACCAGAAATGTCTCCTACTATTACAAATGCACCCTGGTTATGCTGGTGGTGGTGGTGGGTGAGGGTAAAACAACCTCTGGTTGAGAACTACTGGTATAGTTAAATGGTATATAACTAACAGTTGTAAAGTTATTTGGAACATTTTTTGCGTGACTAGTTCTGCTCTAAATCCGAGATACAAATTTAGAGGTAAATACAACACTTTTTAAGAAAAATTTCTAGCCCTGGCTGGCATAGCTCAGTGGATTGAGTGCAGGCCTGCGAACCAGAGTATTGTGGTTCGATTCCCAGTCAGGGCACATGCCTGGGTTGCAGGGCAGTTCCCAGCAGGGGACACATGAGAGGCAACCATACATTGATATTTCTCTCCCACTCTTTCTCCTTCCCTTCCACTCTCTCAAAAAAAATAAATAAAATATAAAAAAAAGAAATATTTCTAATCATTTTCAAATAAACAATAGGCATTCAATACATACATGCTAAAATTGAATAATGTGAAAATAGCACGTAAGGAGAAACTTACCCAATGGTGCAGAGAAGCATTATTACCACTTGGTGGCAGAAAATTCTAATATATAGTTGTTTCCATGTACACTACTAAAATAGACTAGAAAATCAAGGGAACTCCACTTGCAATATAAACAATATTTAAACCTTAGGGGTGGGTAGTTATAGATCGTATCAACCAGAATTAACAGAATGCAGAGGAAGTGGGAAGGGGAAACTGGCTGAGGAGAAGCAGGAAGGACTGGGTATAAACGCTGCTCCTGATTAATGCATGAATGAATACACGCTCCGAGTCTGAATGACCCATTACCTATCCTTATTTTTAATATGCCTTCTACCTCCTTCATTCTTTAGGTTTTTTTCTGTTTCATTCTCTAATAATTGCTTTATTAACATTTCTCATCTCTTTGTAGCTTCATTGTAGAAATTAGAATGAGGAATACTAACTTGTTTGTTACTCATTCAGAGGAACAAGTAAGCTTCGTTCGGCCTTTGGAATTTATTATGCTGTTGTGAGCAACAGTTCTGAGAGTCTCCCATTCCCCACAGTATGAAATGCCCTGAGGCCAGGAGTAAAACCATGAACTGAAAAGGTATAGCAGTATATTGAGGCAGCAGGAAATGCAGGCATGAAATGAAGCCATGTGGAGCACTGCCCGCAAACCTCCTACTTGGGAATCAACTAGGTGGGAATTGGAATTCGGGTTTTGTCACTTGTCTGAAAAGCAACGTTGGGCAAGTCATTTCACCTATATTAGTCCTCGAATCCCTCATGTATAAGAGAGGAAAAATGGTATTACCAACCTCCTGCAGCTAATGTGAGGATTAAAGCGATAAGGTTTGTAGAATATGTAGCTTGGTGTACAGTAGATATTCTACAAGGGTCAATAGCTGCTATTATTAAACAAAAGTTATAAATATCTACTATGTGGCCTTAGGTTTATTTCATGGTTCGTTTTAATCTAGTTTATTTACTCTGGAGATACTTTGCAAATATTGCTTTTTACTGATATGTGCAAACTCATGGTTAAGTTATTCAGGGAATGAAATATTCAGTGATTCCCACACCCAGATGAGCATAAGATCTCCTAAGATCTTATTAAAATATCCACTTCCAGGCTTTGCTGCCAGAGGTTGTAATTCAATAGGCCTGACGAGGGCTGGGAATTTATACAAAATCACCCAGAGAAGTGATCCTGCTGATAGTGACAAATTGAAACCATGACTTTATGTGATCGTTCCATCAGAGAATTAAAAAGATAGCCTCCAACTTGATTCAAAGTTAAAGAATGTAGTTCCTGGATATGCACCTGATTTGTTAAAAATTACTACATCTCACCCAATCCAGTGTAGAACATACCGAAAGTGCTAAACTAACATGTGTGTACTCCGGGTCGCCTTACTGAGTAAGGGGCAAACACCTGCTCTCACACTGACAACCTGAGAGGGGTCTGTTCTGGAACTGGAACACAGCAGTCATTCAAGAAGGTATTTGGCATTTTCAGATTTACACATGTGATACAGTATGGCAGAGATCAACTTTTAATGTATGCTCCTTTCCAAGTGTGTATCTGGAGAGCTAATGCTGGCCACAACAGAAGCCAGTGACTTCAGGAGGTTATGATAGAAAACAAACAGATCTGCTTGCTTTGCTTCTGAAGTATTTCTGTATGGCTCATCCTGCTGGTTTCTATGGTCTACTTGAATCAGATGTGAAGGAAGAATTTGTGCAAACTAACCACATTAACCTTCAAAGAGTCAGAAAAACAGAGTGAAACAGAAACTGAACTGTGTTGTTTTGGACACAGACTTAATGAAAAGAAATGAGCAGATGTCATGTGAATTGGGTAAGGAAGAATGAACCATCAAAGTTTTTTTAGCACATATCAGGGCCCCTCTCAGTAACAATAGGCAAAACTTTTTGGAAATGTAAATGGTTGTCTTAAAAACATTTTCTCAGAAATATATATAGTTGGTACATCACCAAAAAAGCAAGCTATGTGTCTAACTTTTGTTCATCACAGCTTGCATGGCAAGGGAAAATAAAGTAGATGCTTGTGTTGAGTTGATCTTCGGGAATCAAACTCCAGGACAAAGTGAGAAGTGTAAAATGTATTTAGAATTTTGCCTATGAAAGATAATGGGGAGTGGGAGCAGGAGAAGGCAGAAAAAGTTTCCCGACTATGAGGGTCAGGTTCCCTGTGAAAGAGGGAAAGATAAGATTATTGGAGGAAGACAGACAGCCCATCGGGGCACTCTGGTTCAAAAAACTGCCCCCCACGGGGTCCTGTGATGGCAAGAAATGTCCAGGCCCTGAAGAGCATGGCCACTGTGGGAAAGCTGAGGGGGGTCCCAAAGGTGCTGCAGCTGAAGGCTCTCAGCTGACCACACCTGAAGCAGGCTCTCTTCCAAAAGAAGGTGTGAATGGCACATCTCCATGGTGCCACAATAAACAGTTACACGGAAGGGTCTCTACATGATCAAACTGATACTGGAATCAACATTTTGTTGATCTACAACCAGGGATACCACATGCTTGGTATTGCTCTTAAAGTGTTTGTTTTGATTTAGGATTACAGTATGTGCTATTGGAAACTAGAAGGTGATCCAAGCTTTGTTTAAGAGGTATAAAATGTATTTTCTCAGATGATTAAAACAAATTTTAATTTTGTTCATTTTTGGAGAAACTACAAAGAAAATAATATTATTTGAGAAGTACCACAGTTTCTATCATTCAAAAAAAGGCATTCGATTCCCCTACAATTTTTCTCAAAATATGAGTCTAGTGATTTTTGGTGTCATGCATTCATCACCATTTCAGCACAAGTAGTTTCTTCCTAGAAAACTATAAAATCCAACTTATGCTGACCTATTTTTGCTAAATTGTATTGCATTATTTATACCCAAATAACAAAAAGAGCCACTTCTCTATCACACGTACTTTATATTTGTACAGTGTCTATAATTTACAAAGCACCAATTTAGTCCTCCCAACAGTCTCACGTGAGGGGCTGTACAACTTGCTCATCCCTATTTTATAGATGAGGAAATTGAAGCTCAAGTAAGTTAAACAATTGCTCCAATGGAAGAGACAAGATGAGACCCCAATCTTCTGAGAACTTAGTTCAGTGTTCTTACTATCAATATATCAATGTTCATGAGAATTCTAATTGCATCGAAGGAGGTGAGACAGCCTAACAACAAAATGAAAAAGCACCCCTCCTCAGGATTTGAGTCCCATGGACTGACTTTACAGCAGTTTGGCTAATGAGATAGAATAATGGAAATTGCTGCGGAACAGTTCTGAGAGTGACAGCAGATTCGGAGGACACGTCCCACTTTTTTTTTTTGCCCTTACTCTTCTTCATGTCTACAAATAGTAGGGGTGATGGCTGGAGATGAAGCTGTCTGTCACTGTACATGTGACAGAGACCAAGGAAATCAGAGACCCACCCCAGGCAACAGTCCTGGAGTGCCTTACTCTAGAGAGTTAAATGGAAAGGGGAAAAACAACTTGTAAAACACCATGTTTGGTTTTTTTTTAGTGTGCAACTGCATGCAAGTCCTACCTGATACATTGGCCTTCTCATAGTTAACTAATATATAGTTCCCCTTTGTCAAAAAAAACATCCTTGAGCCTCTATATGGGCGCTACGAGAAGGAAGCAGATGTCCTCATCATCAGCGATCCTGCCACTCCAAGTTGGGCAGCTGATACATTTCCGAGGAACACTGCTCATTATGAACTATGCCAATGACCACAGCCATCGAATCCTCGTGGTGCCTCGACCGCTTCTTGATGACTGACAAACGAGGAGGTTCTGCTAAGTGCACACTTTCCACCTGAGCTGCCAATAGTTGAATCATATCTCCATCAATGTCTGACAAGTTCCTCTAGTGTTTTAATTTTTCCTTTTTTATATATTATTCCTATATTCCATCATTCATAAGTTCTGAAAAATATGTATTTAATGTCTTAAATACACACACAATTAATTTGCCAATTATTTGAATATAGGTTTATTCCCACCTCTCAGCAATATATTCTCTGAGTGTTGTTATATGCTTTGATGTGTCTGGTCTCTGTTTCTTGGCATTGCTTCTGAACATTTGTTCTTTTCTCTGCTAAGACAAGCCTGGTCTCACATGTGATGTCATATTTTCAAAGGTAATCTTACCTGTTTTCTGTCAAGTGATGATTTTGAAAGGTCTTCGTGACTCCCCAAAATTCTAAATTTCTTTTCTTCATTTCTCTTTCAAAGATAGATAATAAAAGTAGTATAATTGCTGATTGTACTGTTGTAATTACAAAACCAATTTTACTTTTTCTTTATCCCATATTTTAAAAGCCATCGGCTCTAACTCTCCAGCAAGTCTCAGTAAGAGGAAACAACCCTTCCTGGAGGTCTTACCTTTGGAAGGTGATTGGACATTTCCTGCAGACGTTTAATTCTCTCCGACTTGAGTTCTAATCACAATTTAGCTTCATTAAGTAAACTATACACTTAATTTTATTAAGTAAAGTAAGGGAAACCTTTGCTATTCACCCCGCTGAGTTCTCTATTATACATCTAGAAAAATCTGTCAATGGCATATTTTTCTCAAAATTCCAACACAAAATACTCATAATAATAATGATATTTAAAGAGGGCTTTGGACTTCACAAAGCACTTTTACACATTTATTTGGTTTTATCCTCAAGACCTAAATCTATTTTTTATTCCCTTAACACAGCTGACAAAACTAGAGCTCAGAGACGTTATCCCTCACTTGAGAACCCCAAATAGTAAGGGACAAATGAAGCAGAAATTAGAACGTCAGAATATTTTCTGTTTTATTCAATGATAGAATTTATAATTAATTGCAAGGAACTTTTACAATTGCAATCATTTGGCTTAATGATTGCTTCCTACCCAGTGTAGGAAGATCTATAAATATTTCAATGTTCAATGTTGGTCATCCAGCATATTGATTACTTTCAATGATGGGGAGCTTATTACTTCATAAGCCAGCCCACCACCCTGCTGGTAGATTTTGTTACAAGTTAGCTTTTATGTAGAACTAGAATTGAACTATTTGCAGCATTCACCCACTGCCTCTCTTCCCGTTTGTGAAGGAATAAAAACAATTGTACTTCTTAATCAAGACTGGGAATTCTAAAGATATTCAGGTTCCCCTTCAATCCTCCTTCTTCGGGTGAAACAGCCACAGCTCCTTCAATTCCCCATCACACAACAGACACCCTGTCCACACCTGTCCCATCAGGGTGGTTCTCTGGATGCATCTACTCCTCCTTGGTATAGTCAGCATCCAGCAGGGTTTTTTTGTATAGTGTAATCACCCCACATACACAGTTATATACAGCATTTCACATGTGCTCTAATCTTTCTGAACATACGGTGATTATCTAAGCAAAAATGCCTGTTGATTTCTTGAGATCGTACTGCCTCATCAGATCATTGTTTCCAATTAATACCCTTAGATACTTTTTTCTTGAACTACATACTGCCAAGCCTAAATTCCCATAATGCAGGTGAGCAGTTGATTTCTGAATTTTTCAATATAGAAAGTTACCTAAGAGTCAAATTCTCCCAAGTCATAACCAGCTGCTGATATTTGCCAAGGTGTATAAATTGAAGGTGAGAGACACATAGCCACCAAGAGCAAAAAATAAGTCCCAGAATAGCTCTCCTTTTCAGTATCTGCTCCAAATAATGTATTACACTAGTTACATTTCATAATTTTTTCTTATATTCCTGGAAGTAGGACATGTCCAATGTGCTCCTGTTAGACAGACATAAGCCAAAGGCCCATGCTGAGCTAACTGACTATATAAGGAATAAATAGACATATCATAATGAACTGCTTCTTTTTAAAGGGGTTTAGTATAGCAGTTATAGTAGCTGCATCATTTAAAATTATAATTAAAAAGTATCAAGTCAAATTACCTTGTTCATCTCTGCATCCTCCTGGAAACCTTTTTTATGGCCCTGGAACAGCTCAGAAATCCACTTCTTAAGCTTCAGTATGACATAGAACAGGGACTTTGGACTTGGCACCAGGTTGAAGGGAACAGGAAGAGTTCTTCCCTCCTCGAAGTATGAAAACCAAAGCTTGGCCCTTGCAAATTTCCACTCCACATCAGCATCACCCTACACAAATATGCATGACAGTTCAGCAAGGAAATGCATAAACAAAATTACTGGAATCTTCAACACTGCGTGCCTAGATGAAAGCAATGATGCGGACACTCTCAGACACCTGAGACGGCTCCAGGATTTGTCAGAATGTAGGTTCTACTCATACACTCTTTCCTAAATCTGTCTAAAATTTTATCAGGCTTACAGAACTACAGATCTCAAAACTTCCCTGTGTTGATAAATACACTGAAAGATAAATACACTGAAAATGTATTTTCTTATATTCTGAAAACAGATTATATGCAAATTATTCATTCCTTTATTCTATAACAAATCACTTATTTGATTAATTCAGAACAAAGGCCCAGGTTTCTGGAATAAACATTTATAATCACTCTAAATTTGAGAAAAGATCAATGTTGAACATCACTCAAAAAGATTTGGAAAACAGCCATATTCCTAAGCAATATTTTTGGATAAAATGAATTAAAACTGATATAATAGTGCTAATTTTTTATCGCTAATTTTTTTAGTGATAAAAAAATTAGCATTTCTCCTCCTTATGCCTTGCTCTCCCACTATACCCATCAATGTTACATTTGGAAGCAAAGAGTTAAAATTTTCTAGGTTACTGTCAAACAATTATATAAAGCTGGGAAAGAACAAAGGAGGGAAAGCAGTCTGCATTTTCATCCCCACTGCTGAGCTGATCACTAGAAAAGTTAAAACATGTAGGCACAGAGTACACAAAAGTATAGAGATTATACCTCAATTTCCTGGAATGAACTGTTGATCATTGCAATTAACATGTTTAGCAAAACAATGACCATTGTAACGTTATAGACTCCATAAAGAACATAACCAATGTTTTCAATAAACTTATGATTACAGTTGATGACCACTGATTTCACTTCAGAAAGTCCAAATATAGCCCAGAACAGTGTCTTAAAACTCTCCTCGACTCTGGGAAAAAAGAAAGAAAGAAAAGAAATAATGAAGTGCCCTATAAATGACAGTGGTACCACAGTAAAAGCAAGTTAATTTAATATTTTTTGCAAATTACTAGGTGTTCATGAGACAATTCTCTACTTCCCTGAACCTCAGGTTTTTTTTTATAAAATAGGTACTTTTAATTCTAGGATTGTTGCAAGAACAAGCTAATATTGTGCCTATAAAGCACATAGATCAGTATCTGGCACATAATAAGCACTCAGCTAATATTATTAACATAGCTTCATAACTATAGGTGTTAACCTTTAAATAATCCATAGGCAATGGAAATGTTACATGTATTACTTAGTTAAAATAATATAATTTGTTAGGGTCCCTTTAGGTTTCCTGCTCATCTATATGTACTTCCACTTATAGGCAGTAGGTAATAATAGCATGTGTCTTAAGCAAAATATAACAATATAAACATGTACTGTTATATATATAAACTGTTCCTAAAATCACTGACACCTCTTTGTAGCTATTTCAATGCCTTAGGCATAATCATGGACCAAAGCTAAGCCCCACTGCTGAGCCCAGGTGGTTGCATCTCTCATAGACGGCACTTGACAAGAAAATATGGGTAGCAGTAAGTTATGCTTCAGGTGATGCTTCTGATTATGACACTGAAGACCTAATATTTGAGTAATCAATTACAAATATACTTTATTAAAAACACATATCTCCAATAAACATAAGTCGAAACTTTTGTCACTGTTGGTAACTCAGATCTTCTCAATAAGATCCAACAAACTGAAGTAGGGAAGCAGCTCTTCTCACAGCACCCAGGCAGGTTAAAAGCAGACGGTGCAATGGTTCATACCACAGATACTGAAGGCCATGGACAGGGGCTAGGTCCCAACTTTTCCAAATGTTCACGGCACGGTATTTAACCTTTGTAAACTTCAGTTTCCTCTTTTTATGAAATGGAGGTAATAACACAATTCATGTGAGTGAATTAGCTACTATTACCTAACAGTAATAGTAGCTAACATCTAAAAATGTTAGCTACTATTACTTTATATTAGAAAGGTGCCTATATTTTTTGAGTTCTTGCAACTCATTTAAGAATCCTCTCATTTTGCTAAAAAAAGCTGCAGATAAATCTTTATCAAAACATTATTTATCCTGTAAACATATACAAACATTGTTAAGCCAACATTTATTTGATCTGCAGTCTTCACCATCAAAGTTTCTGAAAGCACCTACACCATGAAGGTCTCACTTTGTTTTACACAACCTATTAAATCTGTAATCATTTAAGCTCATATTTATTTCATCTGCAATCACCATCATCAAAACGTCTGAGATCACATACGTTGTGAAGGCTTCATTTTGTTTTGCACCAATGTAGTAAGAGTAGAGGTTGAACATTCCAATCATGAAGGCCACAAACACCATGATGAATATGACCATGAACTTAAAGATGTCTTTGACTGTTCTTCCAAGTGATATCTGCAGAGGTCCAAAGCTTTCATTTGCTGGTAAGATATAAGCTATTCTGGAGAAACTTAAAACTACAGCAATTGCATAAAGACCTTCAGATATAATTTGAGGATCAGCGGGGTCCCAGTTTATCCTGGCTAGGAAAAGGCAAAGACAAGAGTTACGATGAGTTTCTTTAAGTTGATGATTTAGGCAACGTTTTCTGGTTAAGAATATAAATTATATTAGCAATCTAGTTCCCAATGGAACTCCCTGATCTTAAAGGGTTTCTTTAAGTGTCAGATATATTTATGCTTGTGAGTTTATTGAGAAAATGACCCTCCTGGTTTGCTCAAACTACGAACTCAGTATATACAAAAATTTCAGTAGATAGACTGAAAAAACTGGTTCAAATTGTGTAACTTCTCCTAGCCTTATTCTCCCATCCTTGAAACTGAGATAATATCACTCCTACCTCTTTCATTTGCTGTGAGAATTTAATAAGCCAACATACATTCTGTGGTTAGAAAGTGCTTGACACTAAATAAATCGTAGCATTTATATTTAATTGTAAACTATAATCATATTATAATGTAATTTGGGGCTTGTGAAATATTTGCAGTTATTTAAACTTACTGAAGTAATTTTATGGGTCACTCAAGTCTACTTTTACCATAGAAATAAGCAATTACTAATTTATTAATTTTAATGACCTGATATAATAATTCTATCAAGCCATCAAAAACCCAATTAAAAACATCATGAAGAAAAATTAAAGAACAATGTGAAAAAGGAAAAATATTATAAATTTGTCTTCGCTTGTTTACTGAGAAGTGGAATTAGGAAAAGATGCAAGGAACTAGTGAAAGCAGCTAACAATTTTTACAGTGCTCTGAATATAAGTACTACATATACACAAATAGATAATTTTGACTTTATAAAATTCTGTATATTAAAAAACTTTGATTAAATGTTAAAATAAATACTAATAATTAATAACAAAAATTCTTATGAGATACAGCAAATAAACCTGTAGAGATGTCAGTTGAATATGTTAACTGATTTCTTTTTTTCTTAAAGTGCGCATTTTTTATTGTTGATCAGTTACAGTTGTCCCCATTTTTCCCCCATTACTCTCCCCCACCCTACCCACCCCCCACTTCCCTACCCCATGGTCTTTGTCCACAAGTCATGGGGTATAAGTTTCTTGACTTGACCCTTCCCCTTTTTCCCCCTGTTGTCCCCCCTCCCCTCTGGTCACTGTCAGTTTTTTCTTTATTTCAAGGTCCCTGGTTATATTTTGCTTGCTTGTTTGTTCTGTTGATTAGGTTCCACTTATAAGTGAGATCACATGGTATTTGTCATTAACTGTTAACTGATTTATTATCAGAGTGTTTAAAAGAAGCAGTCAGAGGGAATCTAGTTTTCCCACCCCAGGTTTCTACAAGAAGAAATTTTTCCCCAGGCAAATAACTGAACCCATTTCCATCCTGTAGTCACTCTCCTCCTGGGGAGGTAGAATTATCAGACTCGATTGCTAAACTGAACATACCTGGTTCAGCTCTGCCCTCTTTTTCTTGTGAATTCTCCTCTAGCCCTCCATGGAGGGATCTCACATGGTCAGACATGTGCTGTCATTACCCCTCTTAGAGGACAACTGCCTTGTCCTCTGCCCTTGGAAACTGAAGGATTTATCTGCCTACTTCTGGGGTTCAGTACTGCTGAGCCCATTCAGTAATGACTCAGAACTATGTCATCTACCCTGAACTTTATCAGGATAGATTAGAAGTGTTGATCTGGCCTCCATACTAAGTTTTGCTTTATTTTTCAACTAGTTCAAAGCCTGAGTGGGAAAGAGTGGTGTTATTTACTGGGGGCCCATTCAAAGATTCCAACAATTCCCTTGCTTTCAAATAATTTACATGTCTCAAATGAAAATGGCACTCAAATGTGTACTTTTAATAGACAAGAGGAAAAAAATAAACCCAAGACAAAAAACAGGAATTCTCAATGGAGTCTGGTAGTCAGCCAATTGATTCAAGAGCAAAGTGAGATAATTCTTGTGATTAAGAGAGGTTTCTAGCCAGGAGAAAAACAAAAGGAAGAAGCAAAACAATGTGCTTGTTCAGATACAGACACTCTGAAGAAGCTGGAAGCTTGCCAATAATTCAATGAGAATTGATAGCAACCAAACTACTATTGACATGTATTTTTATAAGAAAATTCTGTTTTTATTACCTTGTATTCACTGTGTACTGTAAACTCACCCAAATTGTAGTATTTCACATTGTCTCCCAGTGTGACTTTTGTTAAGTCCTTCAAAGTATCATTTGCATCAATGATGCTCTGAGCTTTGGAAGCATGCCAAAATGCCATGAACCTGGCAATGAATGATGCTGCAAAGATCGCTAACATACCAAAATCAAGCATATTCCACAATTCAAACAAATATTCCTTGGGGCCTTGAGTCCAAATTTCTTTACATTCAGCCCATATCATGCCTGCATTGGAAAGGGATTAAAATATCTTATCAATTCAATTTCATTCCAGCCTTAACCACTCAATAAAACAAAATAAATGTGAAAGGTCTCATCCTGATATTCAAAACCCCTCAACATTTGGTTCTATATCAACCATCATCCATAATTCCCATGTCTTCCAAAATCCCATCATCCAGCAATATCACTAAATTATCTGAAAGAAATTTGACAAAGTTCATCAAGAAGCTTAAAAAACATTCTTTGATCCATTAATTCTACACATAAAAATATATTAAGAAGATGTCACTGTAGGATTCTTTATAACCCAAACACATACATACACACACACTCAAAATAGAAGTAATTATGGGACTTCCACAAATCAAGTAGGATGCAGACATTTGGTATGATATTTTCATTGCCATGGAGTAATGGCCACAAGGGTGTAACTCCTAGACCTCCAACTACAGAAATATAATTGTCCACGGACCTCAGCACCTGCATTTGGAAAACAATGGTCCCAGCCAGTGACTGAGGACACCCCTTTTGGGGAGACATAAGAATCCTATAATGGCTGATTCTGAATCAAGGATCTCCTGACAGCGTTACCAGACTTTCCTTGAACTGCATGGAGATGGGGGATGCTTCTTTCAACTTTCCTTCCCTCGTGGTTGGACTTGCCACCCAATGACAGCCCTGCCACCCTTCCTCAGCTCCTTCCCCATCTTTCTCTCATATGGAATTTCTTTTAATAGAGTCCAACCTCCCTTAATAAAACTGTTATATATTTAATCCAGTCTTTGCACGTGCATCTTGGAAGACCTAGGCTACCATAGTGGCAGATGTTTGTGATCAGCATTTAAATGTGTTCAGTAAAAAAGTCAAATATGCCATGTGTTCTCTGACTTTACATTTAAAACAAGCACAGAAAAAGACCAGAATGAAACCAGGATCCTATTAATAGTAGTTGTCTCTTTCTGGTAGAATTATTAATAATATCACACATTCTTCCTACAACTAGTGTAGTACTCAGGAACATAAGTTTTGGGATCAGACTGACATGAATTTGAGAACTCGCATGTGCACTTGTTAGCCATATAATCTTTTGCCGCTTGCTTAAATCTTCTAAAACTCAATTTGTAAAATGAGTATGATGGTAGTTTGCACCTATTTCATAGAGTTGTCATGAAACAAATAAAATCACATCTTTAAATTTCATCTGGCAATTGGGAAAAATAATGACAGACATTTATTGAGCACTTACTGTTTTTAAATTTCTATGATTGGCACATATATTACTTCTTAAATTGAAGAATGTTACTTTATTATAGAAAGTGATTTTCCCCTACTGCCTTTAAGGTACCCTATTCTCTGATGTCTTGCTTCCTCCAAGGGCCATGTGGAGGAATATAATCTTTGGATTCCAGCAACCGATCAAAATCTACCTCCGTCAAGAAGCCTTTCATAATCCCTTGGTTGAAATAATCTTCCCCCCTTCCTCACAGCAATACCTGCCCCAGGTTCTCACATTTCTCATGAACCTTTAGCAGAGAACCTGCGTGTGAAAGGTTTCTGCCAACTAACTCACTATGTGCTTTTCTCAAAATTAGCATTCAGTGCAGCATAGAGTACATGGTTTTATAAGAAGACAACTTCACTCTATTTTGAATGTTTCCACATTAACAGGACACTAGGATTAAATTCATACATATTTTAGCGGATCAAATTAAAAACAGGATATACCCCATTTGCACACTCAAACGCACACCTCCTCCCCCACCCCCCAAAACTATGAGCAGGGATGAAAAGACCTAAGGCAGCTTTTGTTCTGTGGCTCCTAGGAGTCCTGCCGGCCTCCTCCATAGGAGACGAGGACAATTTAGAGAACAGAAGCACAGGGGTTAATGGCCCATTTGAACTCATTCATTTGTTTTCAAAGCTTCCCCTCCTTCATCCTCTCATTTCTCCACCTTCTCTCTTCTTCTCTCATAAAATTATTAGTAAAAATATCTTACCAAAGCTTAAAAAATAAAACAAATACAGTGAACTATTCTGCCTGAAGAAAGAGCCCCTGTTTTATGGTCCTTGAGAGCCCTCAGGAGCTGCCAAGGGTAACTCGACATCCCCCGTCTAGTCCAACTTCTCTTGCAAGCAAGGGGCGGCTCCAAGGGGACCAAGCCTCTGCTCAAACATGTCTGGAGATGAGGTGCTCACTACATCTGAAGGCTGCTCGCCCCACTGCTGGTTTGCAGGAAGTATCCTCTCCATGTGGACCTGTTGGTCCTAATTCTGCCCTCTAGGGCAGTGGAGAAAAAGTCTGCTCCCGCTGCTTTAATATTTTTTAATAAAATAAAATAAAACAAAAATACCAGTGTGCTCATTAAATCTCTTCCCCAGCAGAGACAGGTTTACCATGAAGCTAGTGAAATTGAAGTTTCAAGATGCCTTATGTGCCCAGGCTCCTTCTGAAGCTGAGTATTGTCTTCTTTTTCTCTAAGTAGGGCTCTGCGAACAAATGATCTTCAGGCTCCACAAGCTCTGGATTCCATTCCTCCCCCATCATCCCAAGTAAGCCTCCTCACTCCCGCAGGTGCAGTTCTGTGGAGGGTCACTCACGCTTCTGGCTGCTTTCCCTGGGATGCTCCCCAATATGCCGATGGCCTGCATGTGGCACCTGGAGCCACACCTAACCCTGCATGTGTGGCCCGGTCAGAGCATGGACCAGTGGGCTAATGACAGCTCTGATTGCAGTCCTGTCCTTTGAAGAGTCAACACAGCACTGCGCTTGCTTCCTCGGCAGCTCACCCTGGGCATTAAGTCAAAAGTGCTCCTCTGGACCATTTCACGTGAAGTGGCATCAAGCATTGTCCCTGCTTCACCTCCTCTCACTGGTCTGAGCTCACCATTCAGCTTTGTCAAGATCTCCTGGAATGTCAAGTCTGTCTGTCAGCCTTTCTGGTTTTATCAACAACAAAAAAATCAGATAAATTTGCTTTCTGTGACCAATAATGAGAATCCTTCCCCTCAAGACACTGGCATCTGACCTAAGTAGATCACTTATTAATATTTCCAGAAGGTACAGCAACTCTCTTTTAAGAATAACTCCAAAAAGAAAAATACCAGTGTCAGAAACTGAATCAGAGATCTAATATATGTGATAAAATATCAGTTGTCTGTTCTGAGTTGTTAATTGTTTTCCCATTAAGTAAACACTGTGAGAAAATCTCTGCAATCAAATATAAAGGTTAGCAGACAATAATTTGAAGAACAGTGTTTATTCATAAAATTGCAAGTTATTGCAGTATTCTTAGTTTAGGGTTCTATGTGAAAAAGGAAAAACACCTAATGTTTATAATAAAATATTAGTATAAGGAGAATGAACTATCTGTTCGATTCCCAGTCAGGGCACGTGCCTGGGTTGCAGGCCAGTTCCCAGCAGGGGACGCATGAGAGGCAACCGTACACTGATATTTCTCTCCCTCTCTCCTTCCCTTCCCCTCTAAAGATAAATAAATAAAATCTTTAATAAAAAGTAGAATAAGAATTCTTAGTGAAGAGTTTAATAATAATTATCTGAAATTTTCCTGTGTGCTAAATACTGTATGATGTCCTTTACATATACTAGCACATAAAAAAATAAACTATAACACATAAGCTTTTAGTCTAATAAGATCAAGGCAATGTCCAAAGGATTACTCTTATTTTAAATCAAGTATTGGAGATGAAGGGTAATTTATGTTACAGTTTAATAGTGGGCGGTAACTGTTAATTCAATTAGAAAATAAATAGTGTAAATTCCCAGCCTTTCTTTATCTAAGATACAATTTATATTGTAAGCCACTACCCATTTGTCTCTTTGAATCATAATCAAGAAATAAGATGATTCCGACGTTGTGAATAACAATGCTGTTGAATCACCCCAGGTGCATTTAAAATGATCACATGGTAATCTGCATAGTGCTTCATCATTTTTCAATACTATTGAAAGTATTTTTCAATACTTTCAATACTTTATCATTTTTCAAATTTGGGCTTCATTGTGAGGAAGCCAAGAAGACATTCTATGCCCTATAAGTAAGACCCCAAATTTTGGGGCACCAGGGATCGGTTTTGGAGAAGGCAATTTTTCCACAGGCCAGAGTGGGAGGGGGACGGTTTGGGGATGATTCAAGTACATTGTATTCAAGTTCATCTCCTGTTGCACAGACTGGTTCCTAACAGGCCCGACTGGTACAGGCCCAACTGGTACCGGTCCAAGGTGCAGAGGTTGGGAAGCCCTGTATAAGTGATGTAAAACTGACTATAGATGTTTCTCCAGACCCCTGGGGGGAACCCAGCTCATGGTTTAACTTACTGGAGGTTTTGAATAGAGATTCCTTGAGCCCTCTTCTCTTTACACCCTATATATTCCCACCATAGGCCATACCACACACAACCAGGGCCTTAAGTACCATCTAGGAAATAAAGTTACTAAAACTTTATCCACAACCCAGGCTTTTCCCAGGGGCAGTATTTTTTATTATTTAGTAGCTGTCTTCACATGGAAGTTCCACGGGCACTTCGAAGTCAGTCACAACCCAAACTAAATAGCGTTTTTTCCTCCCAGACCCAAGCATGATATTCCTTCTACATTCCCCCTCAGAGAACTGCAGTCACCAACCAGTAATCCCAGGCAGAATCCACATTTTCCCCTTTCCACTGAGTTTTCTGGAGTGTGTCTTTTAAGAAGCTCTCAAATCCTTTTCCCCATCCTCTCAATTCCAGCCTCATCCCCCTCACAGGAATCCAATCACCTCTTGCCTCTACCTCACAACCACCGTGACCTTTATAAAATGTGAGTGACCTGGTCATATCACAAATGCTGAAAACCATCCTCTGGCCACTGTACCACTCTTCTCTCCCAGCCTCCACAGCCACAAAAGCACCTGCGCCTCCGCTGGGCCTACCTCCTGACAGTTCGAGTGTGCCAGGTGTGGTCCTAGATCCGCATCTTCACGTCGATCTTTTCCACGCCTGCAGTGTCTCCACTCTCCCCTAAACACTAGACTCGGCTAACATTTCCTTATCTTCAAAGCCTCGGATCAAAGTACTGTCCAAAGTCTTTTTAGCCCCTTCCACATTCCATCTCACTCAGCTCGAGATGCTCAGTGTGTGTACATTCACAACTTCCAAACTGCTCCTCAGATACAGTATTTACCACATTTTATTACCAATTTACTTATTGACCTGCCCCCCGATTTAACTTCCTTGAGTGCGAGGACTGTGTTCCATTCACTTCAGTATCCCCACTACTTAAAAAAAAGACACTTAACAGCTATTGAATTTATTCATTCATAAATATCAAGTTCAATTATCTTCCATTTGCCTTCCATGTAATGACAAGTCATAGGTATGACTGATTGACAAATAGTGTGGTAGTTAACAGCACATTCCCTCTGTTTCACTTACCACCTGGTAGCACCAAAGCAAATTACTTAATCCTTTTCACATAAATGGTGAAAGGTAGATGTGATTATCATGTCATGAAGAAGAAAACAGAGAGAGATTGTGTGATCTGACGTATATAAAGTGCCTTGAACAATTTCATGTACATAATGTCGCAAAAATGAGTGATTGTTAGTTTTGGTTATTATTAAATATTAACGTAAAATCGTATGGTTGTTTTTAAGCTTTAAGTAACAGCTCTCCCAAAATATAAATAGTGTTTTTTTAAATCAATGGTGGTATTTGATTAATACCTTCCTGTTTATTTTCTTCCTGAGTTTTTCCTGGGGCATGTGAAAAAGACTAGGCACTGAAGATGAACCCGAGACAACTCTGCTTTAAAAACACAAAGAAAATCATGGTGTGCGGAGCATTGTATCACACTGCACACATTTGTATAACTGGTTTGTGAAGAAATCTGTGTCATTCACTCCAACTGCTAAGGCTGCAAAAATACATGACAGAAAATCAGTCTTTACCTATTACCCAGGATATAATGAGCATCTCCATCCATGAGAAGCAGGATGTTTTCATCCTGAACAGCTGTTTTGCATTATCTGTGCTGGTTTCATTAGGAAGGAGTTTGGTGCCTTCAAATCTGTCAGCTGCATTCATGACTAGCAGTCCCAGGAAAATGGTGAAGGAGGCTGCATGTGCTACAAACTTCATGAATGGTCCGCGCATTATCTTCCCCATCTGCCACAACACACACCAAAAGAAAATTTCAGCTTTGATTTCTATGCTTTCCCAAACCCACAAACGTATACACAAGAATAAGCACATGCATACTCCAATATTCTCCTAAAGTAATGATGTATGATTACATGACTAGTAATAAAATGATTCTTTATGCTATTATACAATTTTTGTTCTACTCCTCATCTGCATATGTTGATGTTCTAGATTGATAAATTAACTTTTCTATTAAATGATATTTAAATTTTTGTAACATTACATAGCACTGATGAAATAACATTGTATTAGGCAGAGCATAATATCATCATTATTCATAAAAAACAAATCGATTTAGTGGTCATGAAGTATTGAGGAAGCAGCAATAAAAGTATTAAACTGAGTCTACTTTGCAATGCGTAGATCCTTGGCTGGATGTTTGCCTTGCTTGTTGTCCTTTTGTATATTTCACTGCCTTGAGTACAATCAGGCCTGAGTGATGTCACTATTTTGGTGATGTTGTAAATGGAGCACAATTCACGGGCACCAAGCAAAGAACTTCCAGCTGAGGAGAGGACAGCAGGGCAGTTTTCATGATGTATCGGAACAATGTCCTGGAATGATATTGGACTTCAAGTCCAACATTTGAGGTTCAAGTTCCAGTTTCATTCCCTCATTAGTTAAGTGGAAATGAGCAAATTTCCTAAATTATGTGAAAATCAAATTCTTCCTATGAAATATGGAGACAGTAAAAGCTCTTGTGCCTCTGTAGTACAGGATTCATTTCCATCTGGGATGCACAGACTCTAGTTGGGGCAGAAGGATGGTGTGTGTCCAGCGTGGGTCTGAAGGGCTCTGGGACATCGCCGAAATGTGAAACAAAACTCAGTGTGTGTATGCATTGTTTTCCTTAGAAGAGGGCCCATCCCTTGCTACAGCCTTCCAAAAGAATTTATGATTACAGGAAAATTCAGAAATTAATAAAAATACCAACAACACAGTATTTGTTATGTGACAAGTATTATTTTAAGTGTTTTATTGTTAACTCATGTAATCATTATAATCCAAAGGGGTAGGGGATAGTAGAATGCCTCTTTTACAGATTAAAAAAGTGAGAAAGTGAAGTCCAGAAACTTGCTGAGAGGTCATACAACTCATAAATGGTCCAGCTGAAATCTGAACCCAGGCATTCTTCTTTCAGAGTTAATTTGGTCTGCAAAATAATTTATTACTTTATCATTAAAGTACGTAAACTCTTAGAGAAAACAAAGAAGGCCTTTTTAAGTCAATAATGTGTGTGGCACCAAACTATGTGTGGTGCCAGGGGGATACCAGACTTATTGCAGGGGTCACTTTGTAAGTTATGTAAATGTCTAACCAGTATGCTGTACACCTGAAACTAATGAAATACTGAATGTCAACAGTAGTTTAAAATTTTAAAAAGACCGAAAAATGAAATGCTATTATGGAAGGAATGCAATCAATGTTCTCTGTCCCTATAAATTTTATCTGTCTATATAATTTTCAAAATCTTGAAAGTTAACCCCAGAATAAATCATATAGTTCAGTTCCTTGTCTCTCATATTTAGAATCTAAGGCCAGACAGGCCATCAGAATATTTGCACAAGAGCATGTACACGTGTGTATCTATATCTTTCTACACAGTTTTAAGTTGGTGTCTCCATCTAGATAGATATATTTCGAACCAGTCCAAAATTCCTTTGTGAAAATTTGCTATAAAAATCATATCTAAAAACTATAATTCCATAAGAAGGCTTGTTATTTGACTCAAAGAGTGTTTCTTGTTTTGTTTTTTTTAGAACCTGTTTAAATAAAACTCAAAAAATCAGATGAAGGCAAGGTTAAAACAAATGGGAAACAAAGTAGGCTTCATGTTCCTTTGCACGTTGTCCTTAGCTGTGCTTTCTTTAAAATACAGACTGTGAACACATGAACATTAGTACATTTTTAATGTCTTCTTCCATGGTGTATCACATGTACAATTTTAATTCTATAATGTTTTAGATATGATTTATTTTAATTATGTATTATAACAAATTAAAAATGTAGCACAAGATTTAATAACTTCCTCATGGAACAACTATTATGAAACTTTTTCATTTTTAAATTATTTTTATTTCTTAATTACAGTTGACATACAATATCATATTAGCTGGAGCTCAGAGGGAGTGAGTTCGAGTGAGTCTGTGCACAGGCCCTTTAAGAAGAAAGCCTCAGACTCCAGAAGCCCTCTGTCTCACTCAGCTACAATCCCTGCTGGTTTATACAGTCAGAGGTTATGAAGACTCCTCTTCCTGGGATGGGGAGCCTAGTGTGAGGCTGGGACCCCTCGTTCCTCAGCCAAGATATCCCTCCCAATTTTTATCCACCACACATGGGTGTAAGACCAGCTCATCCCATGTCTCCATCCCTCCTAACGATCTCAATGTAACTTCTTCTTTAACTCCCTAGTTGCAGGAATTCCAGTAAGCCAGACTTCCGAGCACTAGTGAATGATGCTGTTCTATGATTTAGTTGTAATTTTGATGTGGTTCGTGGGAGGAGGCTTGTATGGTCTTTACCTATGCTGCCATCTTACCTGGCTTTTATAAATATTAAACCAATTTTTCAAAGGTCTCAATTTATTTGACTGCTGTGGAAAACTGTGATTGGAGCAATAACTGTTAGTACTGAAATCTGTGAAAAATTTATTTTCTGCCTTGTTCCAGAAAGAATCAGCGGCGACCTTCAAAATATTCTACAAAGTTACCCAAAACACAAGGGAGCACAATAGGAGAAGGAGAAGGCAAAAGAGAAGCAGAAAAGAACAGGCTGGGGACATAGAACAAGGAATAAAGCTATCTACATTAGAGTGCGCCACAAGTCTGAAAACTCCAAAACTTGAGTTTTGCTATTCTGGACACATCCAGAGTCAATGTTCACTTATTCAGGGCATGGTCTCTGATCTGTGCCTCACTCCTGACCCGGCTGGCCTGCCTTCTTCATCGAGTTACTGGCCTTTATGTAACATTACTCCTTTATTTTATTGAGAAGGAACAAAGGAGAATCAAACCAGGTGTTTTTGCTGCATATTAAACATTCTAGTTCCAAAGAAAAGCAAACAAACAAATAAAAAAGTAAAAGTTTGTCCTGGCTGGTGCGGCTCAATCGACTGGAGCGTTGTCCCACGGACCAACCTCGTCAGGGCGCATGCCCAGGCTGCAGATTCAACTGCCAGCCAGGCATGTCCGGAGGCCACCAACTGATGTTTCTTCCTCCCATCAAGGTTTCTCTCTCTCCCTCCCTTCCCCTCACCCCCCTAATCTTCTATGGCTCTCTTCTTCTACTATTGTGATGTTCCTAAACAAGCTTTCTCTTATAATGTGAGTCTTCACTCTGATTCTTCTCTTAGCCAGAACTCAAGAACTGAGGTTGTAGAACTGAGGTTAACACCTGGTACCATCTTCCCACTAACAAAATCACTGATAGTAGTGTTTTGTCTTTAAACAAAAGCAGATTTTGGCACCATTTCATGGACTTTAGGAATTTAAATGATTTTTCATTTTAGTAAAAATTTGTCAATGATATCTTCTCGAATGAAACAAATATCTAAAAAATAACTCTAAAGGACAGACTTCATCAATTGACCAATGTGAACAATTAATGTACCTGGCAAACTATTGAGTGGAAGCCTTGAAAGAAATATTTGCTTCTAAATATTGTGTATCATACTCTTTGAAGTATTTATTGATGACCAAGTACCTAACTTACAAAATACCAAAATAGAAAAATGCTGACACTAACTTAAACTAAAACAATTTGAAATCACAGCATGACCTATTTTATTGTAACGAGCATAAAGTAATTGATATCTGGGATACAGTGGAAAAAGAAAACAAGACAAAAAAATGGTTTCTGAAAGGAGAAGAGAGCAAATTGGAAGAAAGAAAACCAACTGCAAACAGAAACAAGCTTCTGTCAGTGTGCAAAGGCCTACGGTTAGATCTGACTAAAGATGATTGGATGTATTAGAAATTTTTTAATATTTAAAATAGTGCTTTCAGCAAAAGCATCAACGTACCTTAAGCAATCTTCCCCCATAAAAAATCAATTCTGTATCTATAAATAATGTTTATGTTCATTGTTAAGTGAAACAACTATAAAATAGATTTTACCATCATGCTTCAAAGGCTAAATGACAGTCAGTAAAATAGATTTTAGTATGAGAAGAAAATACCTCGACAGTGCTCTTTTAATTTGATTGTCTGCCTCAGTGTTCATAAACAAGGATGGAAAACAGATGCCAGAAAGAAACATGGCCAGGGACGAAGAAATATTGAAGGAAATCAGGTTAATTAGGATTCAATCAAAATTTAGGAAACGTGTAACTCTAAGGTCTGCTAAAAATAATCTCTTTCAAAACACCAAACACCCTGGGAGACATTATGCTTTTGAACTCACTGGATAAAGGAAAGGACGATTATTCAGTTTAGAAAATATAATGTACTTCATCACAGAATGATATAATTCAGAAACTCCTCCCCTTTTAATTCATCTCCTCTGAAGACTCAGGAAATGTTAGTAGAAGCAGAACAGAGACTATATACTTAGATGTAGTCTTTGCTCCCATAACAATTTAGAATTTTGTAAGTAGAATCTGTGATTCTTATGAAAGAAAGAAGAAAAAAATTGTAACTTTCTAGAAGAAAGTCTGTGCTATAAATTTCTCATTTAGTAAATCTCACTATTTTCTTCATAAGAGATGAATTTTGGGCCTTACATAGTTTAAGGGGGGAAAATGTGGTGATAGGTTCTATACTCATAAAAAAATGCCCAGTTTCTGGCAGTTCCTATCATACTCACTGGAAGTAATTATGAAATCCACACAATATTTAAAAAAAAAAGATTTTGCACCAGCTTTCTACCCGAAGCTGATGAGAAAGGTCCCTATAAGGCTAAAGCACAAAATACGTGACCGAGTAATAAAACAGTATGTTAGTAATGGTGATATTTGTGTTTGTACCCACACACTTACAAATGTTTGAAAATGTGTCATGCCCATGCTTAAGAACAGCAAGTGATTCAACTGACATTTCTGCAGAGCTCAGAAATAGATGGTCCAACAGACATTTTGCCATATAACTTTAGAATTATTTCAGTCAGACCCTCAGAATTGTAACTTAAATAGGTCTAGAAAGGTGGCTTCAAAAGCGTGGAAAATAAGATTGTTGACAATGCAGGACAGACAAATATCTGTGCCTGTTAACAAAATTCAGACATCTGAACATTTTCAAACTTGTTCCGTCACACTAAGGAAAGGCTAGGTCCATTTGAACGTATTTTCACAAAGCCTGGGCAGATAGATTTTGAAGGGGAAAAAAGCTGTCTTTGCTGTCACATTGCATTGTATGCCGTTCCTAAAATAAATATTCTTCACCGAAACAACTATTATATTGGTTTTGATATGACTGCACCTTATTTAAATTAAGATTACCTACCTACAAAAATTTTCATCTCAAACTTTGCCATAGGAAAAATAAAGAGGGAAACCATGTTTATCTTTTAAGATGTTATTTGAAATATCTGCTCGATACATATGGTAACCTCATTTAAACATATAAAAGTATATGCCTAGAGAAAAGACGAAGAGGGAGACAAAAAGGAAATACACTAACATAGTAACTGAGGACTTCCGTTACATATTAACAGTGATGGTATTACAGGTGAATTTTCCCTTCTTTCCATTTCTTTCTATACTTCCTAGCTAACCTATGTTATTTTTGCAACATTAAAAACAATAAGATTATTTACGCTGAACATGACCTTCATAAAATTTTCATTTGGGAAATATAATTTTCCATGCATAACTGACTCTGATAGCTGCAACTAGACATACTTCTAGCAGATAACAGAGGCCCAGGTTTCACAGACATACCTTGCTGCACGGAGCAAACCAGTAAACAAGAGCCAGGAAGGGCAGTCCGACAGCAACGGCCAGGACCACGAGAAACTTGACTGCCACCGTCTGCTGCCGCAAACCGGACAGGTTCTCATACCATATGGAGAGGAGCTGCTGTTGACAATTTGGATGAGCTACAAACTAGCAAGAAAATGACAAAACATTTAACATCTTAATTAAGGAAAAGTTCAACATAAGCTATTTTCTTTTATTCTGATATTTTGTTCTGTGCTTTCCCATGAAAAATATTGTCAGAATTAAAGAACAAACATAAACCATCTAGCTGACAGTCTCCAAGAAGGACAGCAGAATGCTCTAATATGTATTATATAAATCTGAAGATTCCAATTTATTAAGCTTTTCCTTTGTAACAAATGGGCTTTCTTTCAAAGCACAGAACACTTTTTGAAATTTGATATTATAAAAAGACTCACCAATGCTTTACACAAGGACTTTTATAGTTATGTTTTTTTCCATGTAGAAAGAACAATGTAAAGACCCTGCTAGTCCAGATGTTTAAATACTTTTCACATGGAGGATTATCAGTAGAGACAGGAGGGCAGAGTGGGGGGAAAGTACAGGGAATAAGTAGCATAAATGGTAGGTAGAAAATAGGCAGGGGGAGGTTAAGAATAGTGTAGGAAATGGAGAAGCCAAAGAACTTATATGTATGACCCATGGACATGAACTACGGTGGGGGGAATGTGGGTGGGAGGGGGTTTGCAGGGCAGAGGGGAATAAAAGGGGGAAAATGGGACAATAGAAATAGCATAATCAGTAAAATATATTTTAAAAAAGAAGCATACCAGTTCTCCTGTACAGTTTACATTCATATCAGCTGCCATCCCCAGGCAGGGCAAGAGTGACTCCATGGTCCAGGCGGACCCACAGGAAGCTTCAGGTCGGGATTTAAATGAACCATGGAGAGCCATGAGGGATTTGGGCATGTGGTTTGAAAGGGTGTAGAAGGAGCCCTGCTGCGAGTAATGAAGTGGCAGCTCTGCAGTTTGTAGGATTTTGGCCACGTGGCTTGGAAGGGAGTAGAAGAGCCACAAGAGAGCCGTGATGCAGCTGATAGTGAAGGTGGATTCTGGCAGGCTGCCAGTTGTGAGATAGAAACCATGCAGGCTGTAGGAGCTGGTCCGCCGTGGGCTAGTAGAAAAGCAGGCAAGCCGCTTTGGTTGTGCCCACTCTAGCAGACTTCAAAGCCATCAAGGACCCTTCCTTGCAAGATGCTGACCCACTGCCTTGCAGACCTGGACTCTATCTGGACTCGTGAGGTTTGTTCCTCTCCTGGACTTTATCATGGTCCAGTGTACCATGACACATGCTTTCCTGGACACATGAAGGCTGATAACAACATACCCCAGATCCTGAAGGAGAGAGCTGCTGCGCGAGGATGGCAACTTTGGAACTTTCCAGAGAGACTGGAGAACTGTTTGTGCAGCTGGCTTAAGATAAGAATATAGGGAACTGCTGGGTTTGCTTTTGGCGTGTAGCCTTTTGGGGAACAAGGGAAGTGCTGGAGCTGTGGGAAAGAAGGGCTCCAAGCTGAAGTGCTCTGAGCCCCTGCCCCAAGGCTGGAATACTGTAAATAAAGACCTGTTCCTCCCCCACACACAAAAAGTATACTATCTTTCCCATACTGACACAAACACTAAACTTATTTTATACTAAATTCTCATTTATATACATGGGTCTGTTTATGCACTGCCTATCCTATTTCTGTGCCATAAACTCTTTCAATTAAAAAAAAACTTGTTTTCAGATTTTTAAAATTCTTATATATTTCACTGATTAAATTAAATTTATCGTGGCAGTGCTGGTTAGTGATATGATATGTTTCAGATGTCCTATCCTTTAACACATCATCTGTATACTGCATTGTACACTCACCACCCATAGTCTAGACTCCTCCCATCACCATGAAGTTGACCCCTTTTATCCTCTTCGTCTTCTCCTGACCCTTTTCCCTTCTGGCATCCACCATACTGTTATCTATGTCTGTGAATTTGTTTCACATATTTATTTTTTTTTTAAATGATCTCTACATAGGACAGACAACATTATTTAATATACAAAAAGCAACAACCTAAAAATCTTTTAAATGATAAAGAATAGTGAAAGATTAATAAAGGACAGGTTATATAAAGGAACTACAAATGATTCCTAAGGATGGCTAACCTTGAAGATAAAACAAGATCCATTGTTCATCTTCCCAGAATGGCAATGCTTACTAACACCCGTTGTGAGTGGAAGAAATATGCCCTGTCATAGGCCACTATTGGCCTGAGTAGACTGGTGCATCTTTTTTGAAGGAAAAAAAAAAACTTAGCTTCAAAAAAAATTTTTTTAAAGGTATCATACATAACCTAAGAAAGCAGCCCAGGATTTAAGGAGAGGGGTACTATATAGAGACAGGGTGAAAATATTCCACAAATAAAGATACAGTTGGAGGAGATTCAATTGCACTGCAGAAGAAATTGGAATATAACAACAAATGGAGATGGGTCTTCAATAATGATGTTCCCATCATATAACAAATGCCTTGTGATTTGGATGAGGTTATGCTTATGTCATTAGTTAAGCACAGGAAAGTGACATCACTGCATGAGAAAACCAAGACTTTAAAGACTGGCATTCAGTGTGGGTGAGATGCCTCATAACTAGGCTCTTAGGATGCATCTGCCTAATGCACCTGTTAACCAGAAACACCCAGTTCATTTAGCTCTGCCAACCCTTCACCCTTATTTAGCACCAATACAAACTGAAATAACATAAAATGGGCTTCATGCCTGACCTTACTTTTTTTACTTCATATTTAATGGCAAGTTTTAAACGGCTGAGGTTTGGACGACTGTCTCCACCGCCGTGGTGTGTTTCAACATCCCCATTCAGAATGGCCTCGACTTCCTCAGTATTTCTGCACAGATCAAGGAGTCCTACCACAAAATCTTTGCACTGCATTGACAGTTTCTTGTAGTCATTCTAGGAAACAGAAAGAATAATAATAATAATAATAATAATAATAATAATAATGTAGAAGTAGCACCTTTTACTATGACACTCAGTGGAATTTATCAGTAACTTGGTTTGCAGAGAAAACAGAAAAAAATCATTTTTTTAGGTTTACTCTTCTTTTGTTTTCATTGCTGTCCTGCCGAGTGATCTCTGAACTATCTTAGCACCATAAGGATTGTCTTCATGTTCTAAGAAAGGAAATTTGTCTAAAGCATGATCAAATTCACCTGTTGATTCAGGAGAAATATAAAATAAGCAACTTTTCTCACTACTTTGCATACATCATACTCTTATGTTCATAACTTTATCAGCTAGGCACTTAATAGGCCCTTGGTAGGTCTTTGGAAGATTGTGTGGATGGTGTTGGTTCACTTGAGAAACAGGACATTTGGAGAGGTCCTGGAGAAAAACAAACACATATCACTTACATATTTAATAAATAGCTATTGAGGAACTCCATGTGCCAAACATGGGGTCAAAAGGCAAGTCTAATAGAAAGTCTACAGATTCTTTTCTCCAGAGAAAGGAAAGTTTAATGAAAATGCTTTTATTGTAATTTATCGCTGATGATCTAGTATATGCTGCCAAGATTTAGAGAATGCAGGTCTTATTTAAATACTGAAACTCCTGTCAAACTTACCTATAGCATGAATTCACAAGTTCACCTAGGTCTTTCTATTATTTCCTTTCTCCTTATTCTCTTACATTGAAATAACACCATTTATAACCCAATATTAATCAAGACAGCCAACTAGCTGTGAGTTGTTGCATTGCAAGTGGATTATATTATCTCATTTCATCTTCAGTCTCTTGCTCTGTTAGGTTAAATAATGGGACAAACACCCTGTAGCCACTAAACATCAAAGTCAGGCTTTAACCCTAATTCTTTCTGGCCCCAAACCCTTTGCCTTAAAGAATCATGCCACTTTGCCTCTGCTTTGTAAAATGCTGTCTATTTTTATCTTGAAAAATGGGAAGCAAGCAGGGCAAATGCTATTCCCATTTTGCACATGAGAAAACTAAGACCCCCTGAGCTTTACAGCTTCACCGGCAGAGTATTCTCTTAAAGGCAGCTTTGCAGATTCACAGTTAGCTGTCTCTTCCATCCTAAAGCCACCAATATGTTTTGGAATGAAAAAAATCCCTTGGAGAGATCAAGAGAGAAATATGTTGGGGAAATATGATAAGCTCTGGGTGTCAGTCAGTAGGGTAATATTTTGGAAAAGTCCATAAGAAAATAGCCGTACACTGTGTATGTGTAAATTACCTGCTAAGGTTCCTCTCTGTAAATCATGACAAGTGACCTTTCAATGCCTTTAGGAACTTACAAACAGGCTATACTTCGCTAACTGCAAGCCCAAACAGTTTCTATAAAAGCAAACTGCTAAAACAAATTGTGTCTTAGCTGGTTCAAACCAGCTGGTTCAAACCAGTTCTAAAAAAGGTACCTGGTCAGATAGTATAAGCAGAGTTACAAGGAAACAACTTCACCCTTTCCCCATAAAAGAGTCAGTTACAGTCGTGGGACAAACACGGAGGTGTGGATGTTGGTGTCCACTATATTCTAGTTAGAAACTTGGACTTTTAGACCTAAGTATACCTTTCGTCATATCCCAGATATTCCATTTTTTAGTCATGCGATCCTAAATATGTCAAAATTACTCTGTGAGGCAGGAGCTATTGTTGATATCACTTTAAGATGAGAAAACTGAGGCTTAGTGAAATTAAATAAGTGTAATGAGATGACACATGCAAAGTCCATAGCCTGGTTTTGAGCACTTAGCAAGCATTCAATAAAAGGTACTTACTTTATTTTATATCATCAAAGGCAAGATCTGAAAACAGGCCATTTCCTGACATTCATAAGAACCCATGGAGCTATTACAAAATCTAATGCCCCTAACCTCTCCTCCATGTAGTGCTCAATCCTGGATCATTTTAAAGTAAAAAAGCCTAATGGTTGGAATCAATACTTCGTAAAATTGTAGAAAGGCTCACAGTGAAATTAGCCATTGAAAAAGAGAATATGACCCATCAACTGTGGAGTTATGCTTTTTAGGACAAACCACAGGGACTGAACCAGTAAAGCACAGGAGTTTTGTGTGGTTTAATACCATGTTTCCAATTCACTGCTCATTCTCAAGGAAATTAAAAACCCAAAGCCCATTTAATTTTAAAAAAGGGAAGAGTAAGACTCTGTTTTTAGAAATACATGCCTTGTTCACCTTTGGAATCCACTTTCAAAGGTTTTCATATTTTAAGCTCTCTCGAGTGGACATGTAAGCCCATTTACAATGACATGTTGGCAGCAGCTCATTAGCCAGATGCAGCAGTGATTTTGGTTCCTTGGAAAGAGAAGTGAAGCTGGCGTCTTGATTTAGTTCTGGGTCATGTCTCTGGTCACACACCCGCACCATACAATACACTATAAAATCAGAAGTGGGTGCTTGCCTATTAACCTTAGAGTTGAAAAGAGATGGCTGATAATGGGCTTAAAGGACAAAGTTTAGAAATTATAAGACATAAAACTGTCCTTGTTAAAATTATCTTTTCAAAGATTCATCTTAGCTGCACATTATACAGTAGAAGAGATGTTAAGATCTGTGACTATAATGTCTGGATCTTCTTTCTGCACAAAGAATATAGTTTGCTTCGTAGAAATTGCCAAGGAAAAAGCACGCCTTACTTCTTTCACTAGTCAACAGTCTGAGCTTTGGAGAAGGGCAGACAGACCTGGATTCAAAATTAGGAGCAACCACTTTGGTTGGGCAAATGACTTAACCCCTTAAAAGCTTCAAAATCCTTATATGTAAAATGAGGATAATACCAGTACCCATTTCTGGAATTGCTGTGAAGATTATAGCACATAGGAATGCCAACTCCCTGGTAATGATTAGGATTGTTATTACTTTCATAAACAATATTCAGGTGCACTCATTCCCTCAGCACAAAGCCGTGCTAACACATATAATGCATGTTGGGATTCCTGGGCAGCATCTTCATGTGTTTTTTAACAAATATTCTATGCACCAATTGTCTGGTAGATACCACAGTCTTACTAAGACAGGTGTTTGTAAAATGACATTATGTGTTTGAAGATTGAGGTAAATATTGAATATTATTACCTGCTAGCCAGCCACGCTTCTTAAGACCATATGTAACACTGGGTCTTTCCTGTTCTTGGAATTATTGTCATATTGATCACTGAGCTCTGTTACAGCAGGTGTAATGATTAGCAAGTATGTATGCAGAACCCACTGGGTAGGGTCCACTAGGTAGGGTTCTGCATAAATTTCTTCTAATTATGGACAACTTAAATGTTGTGATATCATCAAATTAGAGTGTAAATCACTTAGAATAATGCATAAAGCTCAATAATGGTACATGTCCTCCTTCCTCTTTGGTCTGATTCCCAGCCCTGAGTTTCTGATGCTGTGATGCACCTTGTTGCCACTTAGCACTGTGGCTACAAAGTGACACCCTTTGTTGCTAAGGTCTAACAACAATCACACGGCCTTCCTGCTAACAAAAATGATTTTTTAGCCCAATCGGTTTCTTAAAGGATATTTCTTTCAAACAATGCCAGACATTTTTGAACATCTGAACACCAGAGCAGAGCAATGATTTAAAAACGGACGAAGCAGGAGTTGCTCTATCTTCTTCCTTCTAAGTCAACGGCAGAGGCATCTGGAGGCCCCGGTGCATGTTTAGGCACAGTTCCCTGGGAAGACATGAAGGATCTGCAAAAGCTCCAGAAAAGCTGCTTTTCCAGAGTGACAGGGAAAATAACAGTCCCTGAAGCATACAAGAGGTTTTCTTTAGGGTAAAGAAAACATTGTTGCCACAAACAACCTAAAAGTTCAAAAAGGGTTTAGAGACATAAGTCATAAGTACATAATGAGATGTTAGAAGGAAATTAGAAATTTCAGAGACTAAATTTGCTGAAAAAACCATCCCTGGTGTTGATCTCCTTGTCTGTAAGATTATTCTACCTTGTCTTGAGTCAAGGAGAGGAGCCAGCAGTCTTGCTCTCTGGATATCAAAAAGATAAGTTCTGGGTGTTCCTTTTATTTTTTTTCTGACTTGGTATTTGTTGCAAAAATTAGGCTTAGTGAAAGTTTAAGGTGGCTGAGAAAAGTTCGATGCAAAAATTGGATTTAAATGGGTGAAAAATTTTGAATCTGGTTTTTCCCCATTCTCTTTAAAGACATGCAGTTCCTCAGGCCTATTTGTTTTCCTTTTATTTTTGTGGCTTTATCTAGTTATTGGACTTTTCTGCTGTGGGCTGGTTGCACCTTTGCATGGAACCAGCTACAAACCTGATGATAAGTGCGATTTGTTTGGCTTAGGAGATTCAAGGAGCAAGACTAAAATCACCCATGGAACTCAGTAGCAATGTACCTGGCCTCTTATTACTGGAAGGGGAGAAACTGGGAGGAGCTTAGAGAAGCTATACGCTAGATACTACAGAAATCTTTGTGTAGGCTCAAATTCTCTGACTCACAAAATAGATTAGTTGCCTTAAGATATGCAAAAACTTTCCAAGGGACCATGGAATATTGATAGCTTTAAGGGAATTGATTTACAGATCCTTAACTTTCCTAAAACTGATTTCCTTAAAAATATACCTTTTGCCCTTTTACAAAAGAATTCCCCGCTTCACCCACGTAGCCAGCAATAAGGAATCTCCCTTTAATGATTAATGCCAGTACCACACACCCTGAGAGGTCTCTAAATTTCCCTGCCCTCATACATATTTCTGTCGAAGATAAAGCTTAGTGGTAGAAATACAATGTGATGGTTCATGTCAGAATGTTCTGAATTTAGAAATGCAGTACCGTGTGATGATAGGAACCATGATAACTTTTGTTTAATATAATTATCTCTTCATTATCCAACAATCATTGTCAAAAAAATGCATCCCTCTTGAGTGACAGTGACAGAAAAGGAAAAGAAGTTTCAGTAGGGAATACTAAATACAAAAATAAAATCTTCATGTACTTAAATGTGTGATTCTTTTAAACTAGTCTGAATATCATTCCTCTTTAGGATATATCACTAGTTAAAATGAAAGGCATGTCAAATGACCAAGGTAGAGAAAAACTAGTGAGGATGATTCTTTTTAATGTGACTTGGAATGGTTTATGAGATTCAGAATTTTCATAGGACATTGGCTGACACACATAGATAAAACTTTTATGTGATTTTTTTCAGATATAGTATGTGTAATTTACTAAGGTAGTTTTCAAATCATATCAAGAAATATTTATTCCACCTACAGTCAACCCTTTTAATTTTATTCCATAAAATCTTTAATGATTTATATGGCTTATTAACAAAAACTAAAGTAACATTCTGGCTTCTTTACCAAGATATTTTTAGCATGATATACCTTTTTCTTTTATTAAATGTATAACAAAGGTGTAGACATGATTAATCCCACTAAGAATGTATTTCCAATAAGGATTATGTCATATAATCAAATTTATTTTCAAAATTTGTACATATTTGTTATATTACACAATGGTGTTTAGTTTATGTTGCTCTGTTCAAATGCAAAAATAATAGATGTAAAATTAACTTTTTCAGAATATTTTAATACTTAGAGCCTTATGATCATAGGAAATTAAAAAGTCAAAAATTTCATATATAAACATATATGAAATATATGTATAGGTATATACATACATAAAATGTTGCATATATAATGATTACAAGAGACTACAATAAAAGCTATCACATTAGGAATCACATTTCTGGAGGAAATTGGACTGAAAAAGGAAAGATACAGCTATTCTGAATGTTAAAGAAGATGCTGTTCACTTCTTTTAAAAATAGGTGTTGAGGAGCATCACATCTCTGTAGCATTAGAAGCTCCTGGACACATGTGACAGGGCGATTTAAGAATTCTATCTTTAAATGTGAATATTTACACCATGCAGAAAGTATGCATGCACCTGTCTCTCCAGTCAAACAGTCACTTCCCTCAGCTTGTCCACCTTTCTGACCCCAACAGCATGGGTCACCATGCTCTGAATACAAAATTCGTGCTTTATAGGAAAAAGAACCTGGGTTTGAGGGTGCAGCATACCTGGATTCTGATCCCAGCTCTGCAATTTACCAGTCGTTGATGTGGGGCCTTACTTAACCTTTCTATACTTCCATTTTTTCACCCGAAAAGGAACTATTATCTTCTCAAGGTTGTGATAAATATTAGACATAATAACTATAAAATGTCTGGCATACAGCAGAATATCTGCAAGTGGTGGTTATCATAACCTTTAAAACATATGATTAGAACAAATAGCTTGATGGGGAAAAAACATTAAATTACTTACTGACTACAGTAAGTAGTACGATGCCGAGCACATAGTGGAAGCTTGTGAATATACCTTGACTCTGCCTTAAGAAGGATGAAGACTTTATGTTAAAGACCTACCTTGAACTCTTTCTCAATGTTGGCCAGCACTGCTAGCTCATTACTGAGTTCTAAGGCTGTCATGACTGGATCTTCACTAGACAATGACAGATAAGCTGGACTTGCCAGACCTTTATAGGCATTGATCCTAGATCTGGAGTGGCTAAAGGAGTCATGTTTCTGTTTCTGGTTGCACTCATTGCATTTGCAGAAATAATCGTGAGGCCGTTCAATCCGAGCACCCTTCCGCAAGAGGGTGTGCACGATTTCATATTCCTGGCAGTGGGCAGCCAGAATGACTGGAGTCACATCATGGGAGAACCGTGTGCCATCCTCATCATAGGCATAAAAATCATCTTGCTGGAGTTCAGATTGGCTGGGGCTGGTTGCTAACCTCTTTCCTTCAGCAAAAGCTGGATGATTGAGAATGGCTTCCACAATCCGAACATAACCTTTACTAATAGCTAGAAGTAATGCATCCCCAACACGAGAGAGATTTTCTTTCTTGAGTAGAAGTTCTGTAATTTCCAGGTGCTCATTGGCCACTGCCAACTGCAGGGCATTCTGGCCCATGTAATCCACACAGTTAACGTTGAGTGACAGGCATTCTTCCAACATCTTTCTCACCACGGGGATGTTGCCATATTCGGCTGCATCTAAAAAGCGCTCCTCTTCAGCAGATAGGCTTGTTGAGTGATCATTAAACATGTACGCTGGTCCTCGGTTAGCTAACCTTCTCCCTTTCTCACGGAGAATTGTCTGCCGCCGGTGGGCCAGTCTGTTGTCGGTGCCTCGGCTGTAATAAAATAGAAAAATTGTTAACAAATTATATTAAGAGCAATTTAGTGTGCCAAATGACTTACCATCTAATTGCAATCTTCCTGTATATTAGATGTTGTCTCATTGTCTCTAGACCAACTCTAATACAAAATGAAGATGCATTTATTTGATAATGGATTCCAAGAATTTTTCCTTTAAGAAAGCCGAGTACTTTGTATATTCTAACATTCCAATTTAGGAGGAAGACTGACAATTCCCATAATCTCTCTGTGCCATTCACATAAAGATTGATATGTGTTTCTCAATCACAGATGGTATAAGACATAAGAAAGACCCATGATCAGTCACCATTATGATATAGAGTATGAAAATATCTTTAAATAGTAGAAAAATGGCAAATCCATTCATATCAACACATACTTATTGAGTCCAGGGCCAGATATTATATAAGGCCCAGAATAACCAATGTTGATGGCTTGAAAAAAAAAAACACATCTTCTGCCCTTATAACTCTAGTAGGCTAAAGGACAAATGGACAATTACTACAATACCTTGTTATCAGTTATTTAATTGTCATGATAAACCTATAGCAGGGTCAGCTAGCTTAGCTTGTAGGAGAGGCTGACTTGTCAAAAATAAAAGTAGGAGTCAGGTGAGAGTGTGTGTGGGAAGGTGAAACAGGGGTCAGGGGCAGGTGGAGAGCTTTCTCCAGGAGAGGGATCAGCTATATGCTACGACCTAGATTTCATTAACAGGGAACGTTAATGCTTTGACTCTGCTAGGCGTTGTTCTAAACATTATTGGAAATTTGAGGCAATTGTGATCAAGATTGTAGGTGGGAAGGGCTTCTGCTGTGATGGAGACAGTTTTCAAAGAGGTGGCCAGCCTTCAGTGTGGCCTTTAATGTGTGATATGAAGAAAAAGTGATTCCTCCTCTGATCAAAATTCCACAATGGTTTTTTTCTTCTTATTGAGTCATAACTTTATGTCTTAACATCTTTTTGAGCTTGAAGGGCTTAAGGCTTATCACTGCTACTAACTGGAAACTCAAAAAAGGACAAGTTCCTGCAGAATAGAAAAAGGTCCAGTTATAGGGGAGCCTTAAAAGAAGGAAAAACTGTGATTGATTATTGATGTGATTGATGTCCCCTCTCTTTATAATAGCCCTCCCACTTAAAGATAATCACAAGCTCCCCAGTATGAAAAGACTTTAGCTAGACCCACAGAACCCATAAACCAGAACCCCCTACAATGTGGCCAGGCCTAGAAAACCTAAATTTTTTTCCCTCTCAGCCCTGATCCACCCTGATACTGAATCTCCAGGCAACGCTGTCTATGGTAGAGTGATGACCAAATAAATTAGCAAAATTTCAGCAACTCAGAAGTAGATTATGGTTCTCCAAAAAGCTTGAAGAGTATGCTGCCATATTCACAAATGTTTTCCACAGATTTTCATTCAACACTGAATCCTTTAGCCATCCAAGGCCTCTTCGAAACCAACCAAGTGGATGTTTTATAAAAGAAACAACTTTATAAATGACATGAACAGCCAATAGCCAGACAATAATTTCTAAGATGGGTCTTTAGATAATGTATATTTAACTCTTACTAAGTTAAAAGGCAATCATTTCTACAACTATTTTTTTCTCTAGCCATTTTTTTGTTTTTCAATTCCATTTTTAATTTTCTCAGTTATGCATGTCCTTATTTTAAGGACTCTATAAGCTTGTTACAAAAACCAACAGTCCATTGTTCTTCATTTCCCCATTTCCAGATCCCCAGTGACCATAAATTTCAACTATTTTAGCTGATCATTTGATCATTTAAACCCTTATATCAATATGACTTGCTAATATTGCTATTTCTTAATTTTCCAGGTTTGGCATTATCTATGGACTTCCTGTTACAAAAGTTCAGGATTCAGCCCACTTTCCCAGTCTCCCACCATGCCTTCACACTCACAGAGACACACACAAATCAGCCTCACGGTCCCTTATCATTCCAGTATAATTACATTATAACTTTTATTAGATAACTGTTTACATTATGACAATGCAAGTGCTAGTCTTAGCAAGTAGTACACTATTATGTCTTTTCAGGTATAGCTTCCCTACATCCTGAAACCCAGTAGTTAAAAATTCATTCTATATTCATATGCTTATCATACTAGATTATTTATGACTAATTCAACAAAATCCTCTTCTCTGATGTAAATCTTCCTTTAATACATTCAACATACTATGTGGGTTTTTTTTTTTTCAGTTTTAGCTTCTTGAAGAATCTCTTCTGCAGTCTTCTGATGCACCGCCAATCCGGACTGGTTGCTAACTAGATGTGAGGGATGTATGTTCTCTTTGAATCTTCCTTTTAGCATCATCCCAAGGATTCTCCTTATTTTGCTTTTATGTTGGGTTTCTTGTTTTCTGCATCCCAGATCCCCCTTATTTTCTTAGTTTGTTCTTGTGTCTAGTATAGCATATCCTCCAGGAGCTGAATGAGAAATATACATGGGAGGTAAATTTCTTGAGATTTTGCATGTCCAAAAACGACTGTACTATTACCAACCTTAATTAGTAATTTGCCTGGGTAGAGAGTTCTAGGTTGACAATAACTTTGAAAGTCTTGTTCTGCTAGATTCTGGTTTTTGTAGTTGCTATTGAGAAGTACGACTCTGGATATTTTCTTTGTGTTGACCTAAAATTACATGATTTTTTTATTGGAGGGAATCTCTTTTCCTCCATAGTTCTGCACATTCAGTAAATCTTTTAATCTGTGAAAATGTGTTCTTTTCTAAGGAACATTATTTGCTTATTTTCTGATAATTTTGTGTCCTGCTTTCAATGTTGTTTCTGAAACATCTCTTTTGAATGTTGAATATTCTGGATTTATTTTTTAATTTATTATTTTTTCCTATTTTGTAATTATTTATTGTTCCACATTATATATTGGGTATTGCTTTAATTTTATGCTCTAATATATCTTTTGAAAAATTTTCTGCTATTATAATTTTAAGAACCCTAAAACACCAATCCAAAAGAATCTATGCACCCCAATGTTCATAGCAGCACAATTTACAATAGCCAAGAGTTGGAAGCAACCTAGGTGCCCATCAGTAAATGAACTGATCCCAAAACTACAGTATATTTACACAATGGAATTCTATGCAGCAGAAAGAAAGAAGGAGCTCCTACCCTTTGCAACAGCATGGATGGAACTGGAAAGCATTATGCTGAGTGAAATAAGCCAGGTGTTGAATGACAAATACCATATGATCTCACCTTTAACAGGAAGCTAAACAACAAAACAAACAAGTAAGCAAAATAAAACCAAAGACACTGAAACAGAGAACAGGGGAACAGTGACCAGAGGGGAGAGGGGAGGGAATTTCAGGGGGAAAAGGGGAAGGATTTACAGGAACTAGGATAAAGGACACATGAACAACAACTAAGGGGGCAGAAATGGGAGGGAGGTGGGGAGCCCTGGGGGATGGGCTGGGATGGGAGTAAAAGACAGAAAACTGTACTTGAACAACAATTAAATTAAAAAAAAGATTTAACTCTGAGAATAATGAAAAAAACACATTTTTGTTTTTCAGATTTTTTTTATATAGCACCAGAAATAAGTGTTATATAAAGAAAATACATAGCAGAAGAAAAACCTTCAAAAACATAGTATCTTGTTTTATCTAATTCTGGAGATATTGTGACAAAGACTACACAGATCAGAACACTTCAGAGAATTTACTCCTAAGTTGCTTTTTTGTTTGTTTGCTTTGTTCCCTTTATCATTCCTTACATTTACAAAAAATAATTATTAATTTTAATATTTTTCAAAGACAGTGAAGTTTTCCCTCAGACTTAGCCAGACTCTAATGTTGACTTCAGCAGGTGATATTAGAGGTGAGTTTCCAGAACAGCAGCATTATTTCTGAGTTAGCTGGATGAATGGGGTAGAGGAGATGAGAGGTCCCCCAAAATTCGTTATATAAGCAACCATCCATCATCTTCCTCCTGAACTTCCAAGCTCACTTCCTTTTTCTCTGTCCATCACTCTTCTAATAACCTCTTTAGCTCTTCACTTCCTCTTTTGTCTTCTTTACATATTACATTCTATAGTTTGGGTTGCACACAAGAGGAAGTTCAATAATTAGGAGGAGGGGAAGTGTCTGCTGAACATAGATAAGGCTTTGAAGAAAACTATAAAAAATTAAGGGAGAAAAGAGCAAGCATTAGAGGACTTAGAAAAGTGAAATGAAAGTGCTAAGAATGAGAATATGCAAGAAAAGTTCTTGTGTAACTAAAAAAAAGTGACATAAAACTGACACAAAGTAGCACCAAGTACCAGAAGACCAAGAAGCAACCCTGTTTTTTTGCTCTCTTTCTCCCTTAAAATAGGAGGAATAATTGTTCCAGCCTATGTCACTAATATGGAAAGTGCTTAAATTTAGGTTTCACTGTTGTTTATAGATAAGGGAATGTGCACTTACATAAACAAGAAGACACTGACTTTATCATTTTTTAGCTGTCATTCAATGAGAGAACCCATGAAAAGGCAAGAATTGCAATTATGTGTAAACATAATTAGTGTAAATGTTTTCTGTCTTTTTACAGAGAGAACAAATATAATCAGTAGCTTTACTCATTTCTCAATGTTTAATCTGGTTTCCAAAGTTTTATTTGTTTATATAACACCTCAAAATTTACACTAGGCAGCATAAGCCTGAGTTGTGACATCTTTAATTCTAAAATCTTAAAGTAACAATTTATGATTTAAATGCCTTTTCTTTGAATAATGGCAAGTTCTCTTTTAGCAAGCCACTAATCTTAATGGTCTTTCCTATTTCCTTCTAAACTATCATGGCTTAAATATCTATAACTTCCATCTTTTTTAAGAAACAGCAAAGACATTTCCATAGAAAATGTTATCCTCAGTTTTAAAGCATCTCTTGCCTCTCTCAGTGGGACCACAATATTTATCACATGCAGGGACATCATCATTTTTTTAAAAGGCCCAGAT